TATTAAACAACTTTATTTATCATTATTTATTTGACATTAACAAAACAAAAAATCAAAGATACTTGCGATAGTAATTATTTGTTATAAAACTATTGAGCTTATTTATTTACATTAATTATAATATATGTATTTGAGGAATGAGTAATATTGAAAGAAGGTGCGGAGTTTATAGCTAAATTAATATTTTGTTTGCTTATAGAACTAATCTGATTGAAATTTTCAGTTTGATAGTTACATATATGTAGTAGTCTCTTGTATCGAGTTCGATATTTTATGAGCTGTATCCGTTTTATTTTTAATTGACTCATCAATGTAGCTTTCCACGACTGATGTGGATTTCCAAATTTCCAACCCCCGTGTCTCTTTAGTGTAGTTATGTCTCCACCTGCATCGACGAGTAAGGTTGCAGACGATCTGCGGAAACTATGTCCAGAATATTTCTCGGGATTTGGCAATTTCAAAAACTCAGCTATTTGTCTTCCAATTTTATGAATTTGTTAATACCGATCCTTTGTGAAGTGCACTTGCCATTTTGGTAATTCATAAAAAACGCCTGAGAAGTTACATATGCCGAACGGAGATCGATGTATTTTTTACAAATCGGGTAAACATTATCAGTAATAGTAAATTTTCTACTGATTTTTGTTTTCCTATTATTTTCATGTTATACACTTCATTTGCCAGGCATGCATCTATTCCCATTATCATTGTAACTTCATAACAAAGAATAATATTTCATTAATATTATTTAAACAAGTTTTAATGTAGCTAATTTCTTACCTTCTTTGCAAGATATTTTTTATCACATGCTTTAATAAGAAAATGTATTAGCTTTCTTCAAAGTGAACGCAGTTTTACATAATTTTCTATATTGACTCCTTGATTTATATTTAGCGTACTCATAAGCATAATTCCGTAAAATATACCAGTAACACTGACTCTAAAAATGAATTAACTTTCTTGGTCGCCCTCCAGTCCATAAAGGTGTTGTACACGGATCCGTAAAGATTTCGGGAAGTGATATTTGCAGCTTATGTCATCTCCGGTGGAGTACACATTATCTCTTCCTCACTATCAATTTCCATTTTTTATGTATTTTTGGAAACTGCAGCACCGCGTCATTTTTCGATAGGACCAAGGTGCTAGCCAGAGCTGGAGGAATTATCTTCAAAGGATGACCAGAGAGGCAATAGAGAGAGAGAGAGAGAGAGATCCATCGACGTGGGAATAATACGAATAGAAGGGGCGGTTGGGGACTTAGCCGCACATGGAAAATGCTAGTTAACTCGACNAATATATGTATTTGAGGAATGAGTAATATTGAAAGAAGGTACGGAGTTTATAGCTAAATTAATATTTTGTTTGCTTATAGAACTAATCTGATTGAGATTTTCAGTTTGATAGTTACATATATGTAGTAGTCTCTTGTATAGAGTTCGATATTTTATGAGCTGTATCCGTTTTATTTTTAATTGACTCATCAATGTAGCTTTCCACGACTGATGTGAATTTCCAAATTTCCAACCCCCGTGTCTCTTTAGTGTTGTTATGTCTCCACCTGCATCGACGAGTAAGGTTGCAGACGATCTGCGGAAACTATGTCCAGAATATTTCTCGGGATTTGGCAATTTCAAAAACTCAGCTATTTGTCTTCCAATTTTATGAATTTGTTAATACCGATCCTTTGTGAAGTGCACTTGCCATTTTGGTAATTCATAAAAAACGCCTGAGAAGTTACATATGCCGAACGGAGATCGATGTATTTTTTACAAATCGGGTAAACATTATCAGTAATAGTAAATTTTCTACTGATTTTTGTTTTCCTATTATTTTCATGTTATACACTTCATTTGCCAGGCATGCATCTATTCCCATTATCATTGTAACTTCATAACAAAGAATAATATTTCATTAATATTATTTAAACAAGTTTTAATGTAGCTAATTTCTTACCTTCTTTGCAAGATATTTTTTATCACATGCTTTAATAAGAAAATGTATTAGCTTTCTTCAAAGTGAACGCAGTTTTACATAATTTTCTATATTGACTCCTTGATTTATATTTAGCGTACTCATAAGCATAATTCCGTAAAATATACCAGTAACACTGACTCTAAAAATGAATTAACTTTCTTGGTCGCCCTCCAGTCCATAAAGGTGTTGTACACGGATCCGTAAAGATTTCGGGAAGTGATATTTGCAGCTTATGTCATCTCCGGTGGAGTACACATTATCTCTTCCTCACTATCAATTTCCATTTTTTATGTATTTTTGGAAACTGCAGCACCGCGTCATTTTTCGATAGGACCAAGGTGCTAGCCAGAGCTGGAGGAATTATCTTCAAAGGATGACCAGAGAGGCAATAGAGAGAGAGAGAGAGAGAGATCCATCGACGTGGGAATAATACGAATAGAAGGGGCGGTTGGGGACTTAGCCGCACATGGAAAATGCTAGTTAACTCGACGAAGCCTTCTCCACACGGATTTGACAAGAACAACTTAATTGATAATTAGTCAGAAATTAGTGTTAATAAATTATTAATTATTATTTCATGTATATTTTGTCAAACTTTTACTGATTTTGTCATTTTGAACTTGTTTCTGGAGAAGATTGCAACGCACGTCTTAATCCGAAAGTTCACAGTTCTAAAAAAAATAATTAATTAACATTAATTAGGCCTAGTGTTAGTTCTAGTGATAGTAGTAGTTTTAGTCTAATTCTTTCTTTAATCCTGAGTCTTGCAATTGGGCTGGAGATTGGGTAAGACAAATCGGAAGTAGAGCCATGCCGTAAGCATGTTATTTGCTGAGGGGAAGCTAACTCGAGACGAATTTCGATGAGTCGTGTGTGGAGAGTTATTCCCCAGAAATAAAAAACTTATTGTAATTCAATGCACTTCAATATAAACATCACAACAAAGTATTACAGATTAATACAAACCTATGCAAACATTACGTGCACAACGTAGCATTGATAAGAATATTCCAGGTATCCTTTCGAGATCAGCAAAGGTTACTCTCCACAAGACCCTGTGTTAACATCTATTAAACAATCTATTAAAGTTTTGCATCACGTGCAACACAAGGGAGTATGTACAAATGGGGAGTGCTACAGTATGACTATACAGCTTCAAAACAATCTATCCAACATATTGTGGGTACTACCTTGATGCTGAACTCACAAACTCTTGAATGGCTAACCAAATTTGATATAAAATTTTAGATTTTGTTGTACTTTCTGATGACTGTTATTTTATTCGTATTGTGTGTTATATAACCGTACGCAAAATAAATAATTCCGAAATTCTAACAAACTATAATAACTCAAGACGACAACGGGTCCAACTCCTCCTGTTCACACCATTTTAGTGTAGAAATTCAAAACCAAAAGACAACCAAGATTTCTTCTTATTAGAGATTTCGTCTGCTCAACTACTACATTTTCCTTCGCCATCCATCATCTAGCGAGTTTTCAGAGTCCAGTCTTAAAAATTCATAAGAAAAAGAGTCGAGATAGAAATTTGCACTATACTCTTAAGCAATGCCCAATCAGATATACAATATACTCCTGGAGAAAAGAACGAAAACCATAATTATATTATAAATAAAATATTTTTACCGCCATTACAAATAAAATTAGGCCTGATGAAGAATTTGGTCAGAGCTTTAGACAAAACGAGGCCAGGAGTATTTTGAATGCAATCAAAAGCGTGATACAGAATTTCTTAGGAAATAAAAAATCTGAAAATTACTAATATTATATTAGATTACTAATGTTACTAATAGGTTGTAATATAAGTCTCATAATAAATTTCTTGTATACGTACATGCACTTTTTCCCCCAAATTATGACGATGTTAGTTTTTACAATTAATATACAATGTACTAGGATGAGATGAGATAGTCAACTCTGGATCCCGGCTCCGTTTTATCTTTTCTTTGCTGCCAGCCGTGCATATCCGTCCCTATTATGGGTTGGTTGCACTATCTTACAATTATATCTATCTTGTATCTTTTATTCCATAATTCTTGCGATTTCAACCATTTTAACAATTGTTATCAATTTGCTGAATCGGCTGTCCGCTTAAATACACCTCCGGAACATCGATATTTCTCCTATATAACTGCCCGTTGCGGTGTTAAAATCCAGCTACTAACTGACTTGTCCTGGCCGATCCTGGTTTTTTGTTGCCCCAGTGGAACAATGCGAACGTGTTGTTTGCGATGTTGAGTCCCGTAACTTCCCGGGGTAGGTTTTCTGGAAATCCTTTATCTGAACCAAAGGATCTGCTGTCCTGATGGTCGGAGAAAGTTTTTTTTGTTTTAGTAAAGTTATAAAACTTTATTGCTCCCGTTATTCGCATTTCGATGGGAAAAAAGTTTCCGTTGAACCTCGAAGGGTCAACGTTTTTATGGCTCCGTTCTTTGTCCTTCAATAACCCGAGAAAGTCTCTTACAAACATTCCAGGCTTTCTCGAATTGTAAAAGCTTTCCACGGATTGATCTCGTCGCCCAAATGTCCGCCACATGGTGTACGGCGCTTCGTGACGTTTCGGCGATATTCGACGTCGCTTTCTTATCTCGTTCCAGAAATGTGCCTGTTTTCTTTTTCTAGGAGTTTCTTGCCTGCGTCCCTCGACGGTTTTATGGTCACCACATGGATACTTCCAGTTTGCACTTTTGAGCGACGCGCTCTTAAGCTTGGTTCATTGTTTTGAGCCTCTCGACGCATAAAATGTATAACATTTGCTATAACGTATCGAGTTTGGCCACTTAATTTTTTTGATTTTACTTTCCAAACGAACTCTATTATGACAAAAATATCACTAGTTTTATAGAACTGTGGTATACATTTATAACGTGCTCATTTGTAAATAGTTAGCAAATGTAGGTAAAGGTAAACATGTTATGATTTGCAGAGGAAGAAAAAAGGTTTCTTTTATTATTAAAAAAGGTAGTAAAACTTATATTAGTTTTAAGTTTTTCTATAAAATTTCGGTTTTACTTACATGTATACAAAATGTTATTTAAAAATCATATTATTTTAATACGATACGATTACGGACCTGTTTAATTGGGATCGGTTTGTTTCAGAGGTTACGATAGAATGAAGTTCGTTCTAAAAGCTCCGCCTACGTGTCTACTGCGCAACCTTTATCTTTAAAATTTTCTCCGCATACTTATTTCTGTCAAGTGGTACTAAAGAGATGCAGGTACTGACACCAGCCCCTTTTTACACTACCTAACTAAAAAGTGTTTATTTCACCACCTTTGTTTTTCTAAAAGTCATAACGTTTTTGAAACATTCGTTTCTCGAGCTCTCATGAGTGAACATCGTGCACGTCGATAAAGTAAAGTTTAGTGTAATTTATTGTTAATTATAATTAATTTAGTCTTTACGTGAATATAATTATGGCCAAGAAAAGCACATTCAAGGGTGGTGTCGAAAAAGCAACAGTTTTTGAAAAATAAAGCAGGGCACAAGTAAGTACGAATTCTTAATTTCACTTTAAATGTTACTTCGTTATCCAATTTGACCACAATTTAAAAATATTAGTTATCACATAAAACATGAGCTTTTAAACTATTCTTATGTCAAATATGAGAATGAGATAAATGCTATAAAAATTGGTCAGGCTCATCAACTGCAATGAAATCGGACATGGCCTAAAATATGTAAAATTAATTGACGACGACGACAGTAGTACCACAAAAAAAAATTAAATTTCATAAACCCTACGGAACATGATCAATACAAAAAGTTTAGAAAGTTTGGTTGAACTTTTTAAACAAGTGCGAGCACTATTATTGGATTCAAAAGCTTTTGCCCCTCACTTTGTTGAACGCGAATAACAAAAAAACTACTCCGTAGAAAAATCAAGACTAGCTTCATTGGAGGCGAAATTTAATTCTTTATAATGTGTGGTGATTTCGATTTTTTCTCCCACTCGTATAGTAATTGTTACAGGTGTAATGAAAAAATGTACAAGATTTCGGACGATCGGCGAAGAAGCTCGAATTTTTTTGTTCAGGAACGGTTCATCGAAAAAATTCTAAATTTCGACCACACATTGCCTAAAGAGTACTAAACAAGCCAGTATTTTTAGATTTCCATTAAAAAAAAACTACATTATACGAAATAATATCTCAAAAACGCGTTATTGTATGAGATTGACACTAACATCATTCTGTCTGATGAAATTGAATAAAACCCTAACCCTCATTGTACATGAAGTACTCAATGCGATTTTATAATGAGAGTTAAATCAATCCGCGCGAAACTATAATTATAAACTATAATTACCACACATTATAAAGAATTAAATTTCGCGTCCAACGAAGCCGGTCTCGATTTTTTCTACGGAGTAGTTTTTTTTGTTAATCACGTTCAAAGTGAGGGGCAAAAACTTTTGAATCCGATATTAGTGGAGAATTCGTTCCACTACAACTTCCAAGACAACTCCAGCAGTGAGTTAAAATTTCGTGTGGTTATAAGAAAATCAGCTGAAGATAGAAGTGCTCAAAATGTTCCGTATGAACAAAAACTTTTATTTTTTCTTTCGCAATAAAGTAAGCGGCGTAGACATAAATTTGAGAATTTATTCTTCATGACAAATCATGAGTAATAGGTGAAAAAAATTGTAGCAAAAGTTTTTTAGTTTTCTACACTGAGAGAAATATATTCTTGAACGAAGATTATTACTCTTGGCACAAGCTTATCATATTCTTATACATATATCCACAAGAAGATCATTTTGTTGAGTGAACAAAAACCACATATTCTCCAAGCAAGTATGCAAATATTCTTGATTCTCAAGAAAACGAATTCTTAGTGAAAGTAAATCAATCATCTTAAAAAAGAGTATCTTAGTGTTGCGTCAACAATCCCATTTTCGAATTGAGAATAGATTTCTTATGTCAAGAATAACATAAGTACCTTTCTTTTTAGAAAAACATATTCATGTAATAACAACCTGGTATAATACTTCATTTGAGTATTATAAATTATTGACGCAAGAATAAATTTTTTGATACAAAGAATTGATATTCTTCGATGCTAAGAATATGAGATACTTCATCCGTTAATATTTCTATTCTTAAAACAAAACAAAATTTTGTTTTAAGAGTATCTTATACTTGTTTCTAAGAAATACATTCAAGAATAAATTTTTCTTCAATGTCAAGAATAATTTCCCTCAGTGTAGATATCCATGAAATTTACTTTCAAATCAAGAATACATATAAGATTTTAAAATGACATCAAAGGAAGTGTTGCAAGTTGTTTCCAATATTTTCTATACATAATTGCAGTTTGTATCTGATTTTGCAATCCTTGCCCAGTATTCACTTCCTCAGCTGCAATGTTAAATAATAATAATAATTTATTAAACACCTCTGGCACAACGGTGGATATTCATTGTCAAAACACAAAATAAAATAATAATAACATAAGAAAATTACAGAGTACAATAAATTCACAATTAACATTTTAATGAAATTAGATTACTAAGGCGTCAGAGAGATACTCCCGCTGGCTGTAGTATCCGCCCTTTATCAGAAATATTTTAACTTTACTTTTAAAACTGTTTAGTTCATTTATTTGTTTTAGACTCTTCGGAAGCTGATTATATGATTTAACAAATTATATTGTGGACTTCTTTCGTACAAAGACGTTCTGTGCTCGGGCATTGGCAAACTGTTACTATTTCGCGTGTTTTAACAACTCTAACAATTGTTATGGTTATTAAAGTGTTGAATATTTTCTTAACAAAAATTACGGCTTTCCATATATATTAATACACGGAAAGGTCAGCAACTCTTGTGCATAATAGGCTTGTATCGATCCTTCAGCCAAACACGATTTTAGCCTTCATTGCATAATAACCGGAATTCAATTTGGAGCATACCTGGTCTATATGTGATCTAAAGGACAAGTTATAGTCAACGGTTAATCCCAGGAATTTCACCGATTCCGATAAAGGAACGGCCAAACACGTAGGATCGGGGAAAACACGGTGTTTATGAAAATGTATGCCGACAGTCTTCCTCGAATTGAGAATTATCCTATTTTTCCTATGCCAACTTTCGAATTGTTCAATCACTGCCCTGATCTTGCACGATATTTTTTCAGTGTCTGGAGCAGCAATGGCAATGGATGTGTCGTCTGCATGCATTGTCAAGTGAACTTCCCTGTCGATGTGAAACATTAAGGGTCGAAGAATGGAGCCCTGGGGGACTCACAGTTCAGTTGGAGCATATTCCGATGCCGCATACTGCGACCAGTTACCAGTCATAAATGAAATGACCCAGTCCAGTATCGGACCACGTATCCCTAATCTAAACAGTTTGTGTCCAAGAAAGGCACGAGTCAAATCAAAAAACAAGCCAAAGACGAAGTCACCCCTATCTAGGTATTCATAAACATACCTGAAATAATCGATCGTGGCCGTTTCGGTGGAAAACCCGTCACGAAATCCATGCTGAGTATCTGACACAATATTGAACTTGTTGAGGAAGTTCGCCAAATTGAGGGTGTGGTTCTTTGACCACACCCTCAATGATTTTGGAAAAAACACTATTTAAAGAAATAGGACGGTAGTTTGAGATATCCGACGGGCTTTCCCTTTTATACACGGGAATCGTGTTGTAAGTCTTGAGTTTATTCGGAAAGGTACCCGTGGAAATTGATCGATTTAAAATCATTATTAGAGGTGGGGCTAAGACATCCCGTAGAAACTTGACATATCCGATATGGACGCTATCAGGATCAACACTGTAGGTGTTTTACAGATTTTTGATTACTCCCATCATTTCTGACACAGTAACATTATCAAAATACATACTCGTATTAAGGAATGCATCCGCCGTACATGAGTCCGGTGACGTCGAACCAAAGCCTATGCTCAGAGATTCGGGAACCATGTTTACAAAAATGTTACTGTAATGGAAGTAGCATTCGGCTGGATCCGCGATCAATTTACCGTCTATTACTAACTTTGAAGCAGTACTCTTCCGTGTATCTTTACCGATTTCCTTCTTTACACACTGCCAAAGCGGTTTTGTACGATTCTCAGAATTCACTATTTTATTTGACAAATGATTCCTTTTTGTATTGTCTATCAGGGACGTGTACTTAGATTTCAATTTCGTGTAACGTGCTTTAAGTTCAGGGAAACCATTGCCAATGAGTATTTTTCAAGTGGTTACTTGCATCTTTGATTTCCTGGGTGACCCATTTTGAGAGGCCACAACCAGCAGGAAGACGGCGTCACTGGATGACAATACTGAGTTCCAGTCTATCACATTAATTTTACATCTAAGTAAAGCCAAGCGTTCATCGGAACACAGTCTTCCGGTCACAACATGTGGTACCTCTTCATTTGGTATCTGACTTATCTTCGAAATGGTCAGCAATATTGGCATTGAAAAAACCAAAAGAACAAAACTGTAGAGGTATATTTGTTATGATGTAGTCCAGTGTGGATTTTATGCCAATACCACCCTGGTTGCATGCAATTCGGGTCGGTTTAGAGGTATCACCATGTAACCCCTAAAGAACAGAATATATCCGCGACAATTCCAGAATCAATAGAGTCAATATTAACATCAACGTTAAAGTCTCCACACAAAATAACAAAGTTATATTTTAAACACAAAAAATCAAGCAGTGCAGACAACGCAACGCAAAAACACGTCAATTGAACCTTTGGGTGGGTGATAAATGCATACTCAAGCGCACCTCTTAGACTCACACGCAAAACTAACCGTTCAGCATTCAAAGACCATCTCAAGTTCAAATTTCTTTAAATCGAATTCGTCAATGCCGAAATCAGATCTCGCAAGGATCAATGATCCACCATGTTCTCTTGTGGTGCGATAAAAGGAAGCAGCCAATCGATAGCCGGGAAGACCCATGGACTATCTAGCTTGAAGTTTAATGAATCAAGTTAAATGCCTGTGTTAACCACTGTACGCCACCCTCAGTATCAGCCAAGAGGACGTCATCATCTGCATGGCACTCAATTTGTAATCATTTATAGTGTAACCATAGTTGATATTACATATTTTGTAATGTTTGCCCTGTTCTAATTCTTTTATCCTTACTTTGTCGAACGTTTTGGTTAGATCAATGAAATAGAGGAAGGCTGCTTGACATTTTTTCGTCGCAGTTCTGATTCTTTTTGATGTTCCCAAAAATTTTCCTCAACATTGTGTAATCCGTACATATCATTCCTCATCTCGTTACTAAATTTTGCCATGCATTATTTGTGTAGGCAACTCTTGCAATCAGAAGGGGAATTATTTAATGATTTTGAGAATAAACCATACGAATTATATATTCCTGGCGTGCAACCTTTTTCTTCTAAAAACCAAAAATCACGTCTCGCGTTTACGACTGACGTCCGGAATGGTGACCAGACGTCGAAATAAATTTTGGGAAAGATTAACGTACCTGCAAATTTAAGGGGAAACGTAGATAACGAAAAATTCGTTAGAAATACGTAAAGTTGATGGGTCCCACAGTTTTGGATTTATGTGATGACTTTTGGGATAAATCAGTGGCGGATGTTATCTTCTGACCCCGCGGTCAAAAATTGTTCCCTTCCCCAAATTCCCTCATTGGCTCAGAAAATTATTGTAAAATATCCGCCCCGTATTTTGGATTGGCTCAGGTGTCGAGGACATCCAAGTGATAGGAACGCCTCAAGAAGGTTTTTGCACCCCTCCAATACCCGAGGTTACTTAAGAGCTTGTAAGACCTTTTTCAGNATTAATGAGTGAACGAACTGACTGTGAGTTAAGAGTGGTCAGCAATTGAGCTATAATAAAGATTCGTGCCAATCCGATGACCGTGTCAGTGTTCTTCCTTATGCCTGTTAAATATAAGTAATATAATAGTTAAAATGGATTTTATCAATTAACCCATAAACTACACCTAATAATAAGAAAAGGGACATTACAATATATTGGGCCCATATTTAAATTTAAAATATAAATTAGATTCATCCCAAGCTTCTTTCACCTGCATATCAACGCTGCCAATCCAAAACGGGAGAAATTGTCACTTTTTACTTAGCTGCACTGTTGAATAAGATTTTTAAATTTGCATCCAACGGGACGTGATAAAAGTTTTTTGTGTTTCCTGAAAAGTCAAGTAAATGTCTAAGTAAATTAAAAGGTGTAATAAAAACCATAGCATTCCATTTAAAATAACGATTTTGTGATCTACTTCAGGTGGACCGGAAGTGACGACGTAAATTTGAGAAACGTAGATGCAATGACGTTGGATTTTCTTAACGACAATATTTCAATTCTGATTCCTAGAATAATTTATTCCGTGAATCGTGTCAATACTCTTGTCATATCTAAACATGCTTAGAGGTTGTTTTTTATATCTAATTACGTTATCCAATTCATTAAAATGTTATTACTCGATAAACATCAACTCATCTCATAAATTCAATAATTGATTATTAATAATTATTTAATTTCTTTTTCTAGTAACGAAACTGAAGTGATAAGTGATAAAGAAACATTCACTGATATGGAAGAAACAACATATGATTTTGTGGTTGTAAGTGATTCCGAGGATAACATTGTACAATCGAGCGTGGAATCCATCTCTCTATGTAGTAAACAAAATAAATATGATACAGATTCGGCTAAAATGGACTCTTGTAGTAGTAACTCCTTTGATAAGGAGAATCAAATGCTACAGCAAAGCAAGCAACAATTTCGTAAATTAAATTGTGTTAAACGTAATGAAGAAGATGTAGTGGATTCCACTGAAAATATGGTAACGATGAAACATACATCACTCTATGCTTCAAGTACTGAAAATTTGCATATTTCAAATAAGAACACTGAAAAGGCGGCTCAACCGGATAGTACGACAAATGACAAAGTCCAATTAACAAGACCTCATTTTGAAATATCTAAACAAATGTTTAGGAGTAAATCTTGTTTAAAATTACCCCGACATGAAAAACTGAAGAAAAAACCATCGAAATTTCTGTCGGATTTAGTTCCCACCAACATTCAAAATTCTAAAAGTAAATATCGGAATATCAAATTAAATTCAAGATATAATAAAAAGTCAACTATACAACAGTCAAAACGAAGAAGCAACGCAAAAAGACGTCATGGAAAATCAAACAATAACTTCACCATATACAAAAAACCACATTTAATTGATTTACCAGATAATCCAACAAAAATTTACGCAACATTGTCTCCAAATGATTCAAGAAGTAATTACAGAAATAAAGTTATTTCCAATCCACATATCATTGGGAATAAGCGACGAAAGACGGAAGACTATCAGAATTATCATTCAAAAATGTGTGCTTCAAAAGTTAGAAAAGAAGAAACTCGGAAAAAATTGAGTTTGTTTGATATGAACCGGATAGGAAAAGGAAGGTGTAAAACAGAACCTTCGTTTTCCACTAATAAAAACAGTAAAATACATTTCGTGATGGAAACAACCGAAAGAGTAATGATTGATCACATTAAACCGTTTTCTATAAAAACTCCAGGGAAACATAAAGCAAAATTATTAATACATCCAAAAGAATGCTACCAAAGAGCAACCATTTTAGAACCTATTAATGTCCAAAGCGAGCCAAAAATAATTAAAACAACACCGAACATTAAAGAGCTTACAACAAAATTCGTAGAATATCTTACACTGTTTTGTTTAACAACTAAAAACATAAAATTAATTTCTACATTTAATGGTGAAGATCAGACATTAATAAGCTACCTGGAAGGGGTGAAGAAAACATTTAGAAATAGTTGCAAGCTTATTCCATATTCAAATATTGACATCAAAGAAATCATTACGAAAGTGCATAAAAAAATTATTTTGGCGAATATTGGTTGTTCACAGTTGGACATTATATCTGCATTAAAAATTACGTTTGTTGATGTCGCTTATGGATTAGGTAAAGAAATTATGCGCTTATTAAAGGATAACTCGGATTCTATTTTTATTAAGGATGAAATGATTGATGATGATTGTGTAATAATTGATTTCAAAAATGGTGAGTTTGTTAAATTAATTGAAAAATCTTTTTAAAATAAATTTGTTGAATGATTTAAAGTATATTAATTCATACATATATTTTTTTTATAGAAGTCGATGTTTCTTCTACTACACCTACTTCGCCAAATATAATCCAATCACAAAACCAAATTGAAGAGTCCAACAACCAAATGGATATGCCGATTCTGGTTAATACAAATACAACAAATAATATAAATCCAGATACAGTTTCTAATTTAAACAAAGTGTTAACATCAAATCCACAAGTTGTTCAATTGCCAAGTTTGAATGATAAATACTCCAGTTGTCCTAGATTGCAAGAACCTCAAACAGTACATTTTGAATATATTAATCAACCCAATAATAACAACCAGCAAACTGTGAATGGAACTTTTAATCCACATATAGCGTTTAATCAAATTGTTCCTCAACAACAAACGCTTCAACAGCAAACACATCAGCAAGTATCGTATCATTCTCCTGAATGTCAACCTCAACGTATCAATGAAGTGGTTTATCAATCTCATACACATAGAAACGTATACAATCAACAATTAGCAGCTTCCTCTCAAAACCAAAACATAACCCAAACAAATCCATTCGGAATGTCTGGTGGTATTGCTGTAAGAAAGGATTTATTTACGTTAAATTCGAGTCAACCCCTTCGTTCGAATTGTACTGCTCCACAAATACGTAAGAAAACCGGTCAGATGCAACGGAGTGTTCGGTCGGTAAGTATAAAATAAAACTAACTTAAAATGATGTACTATGCTACTACATACAGAATTATATGGCAGTTAAGTTTATTCCCCTTTTCATGTATTAGACATATGAAGGCAGTCTGCCAATCTGTAGGCATCTTCTCAGTCGTCTCTTAGGATACTATCTACCCCTAGTGTCTTATTATATTTTAGTCTCTCTATGCTGCTTTTTATTGTTTCCAAGCTCGGCTTACCTTTTTACTGTAAGAAGAAAAGTTTACTGTACAAGTTTACTTTGTCGCGCCTTGTTTTGTTTGTCAATAATCTCTTTGCATTCCTCGTCGTACCAGTCATTTCCCTTTACCCCTTCTAGAGTCCTAACTACCTCTTTAGCGATCTTCTGCAGCATCGGTTGTCCAGCAAGAATCTACTACTCTCATTTCCTTCTCTTCAGCTTCCGCTTCAGCGTAATTTTTTCCTAACTCTAATATATGGGCTTCCATATATTGACTCAATTTTTGTGTATTGTGTTTCTTAGCTTTATCGGCTACTTTCTTTTTATCTTCAGTAATCCTTTCTCGTAGTTTGTTTTTTATAAGGTGGTGGTCAGAGTTCGAAACAGCTTCTCTGTAGCTTCTTACGTCTATGATACTACAATATGATCTGCTATCCACTATCACATGATCAATTTGATTGATTGTTCGTCCATCGAAAGACACCCACATTTCTTTGTGGATAATTTGTGTGGGAATGAGATAGTTTTTACACGTAGATTTTTACTTTCAGCAAACTGTAATAGCATCTCTCTATTGATATTCCTTTTCTGGTTTCGTCCAACTATGGGGTATCACTTGCGTTTGCCCGTCTTGGATATTTTTATGACATTGAACTGCATCAAAGTTTTTAGACAAGGCAGCAAGGTCAAATAAGTTACATGATATGGGATGGTTTCTTTCTTGCTTGTTGACGTATGCTTATATAATCAGCTGGAATGTTTATTATTCTCTCCACGGAGTGAATGAATTTACCTTCGCTTGTATATGGCTAACTACCAAAAATTTTTGTTCTATAGTTACATTATAGCTTATTGCTAAAGTTAATAAAGCATTGGCCATGCCGTATTTGATTTTGATAGCTACAGCCATTATCGTTTCATTCTTCATTTCTACATCTTCGGTTTCACTCCACAAATAAAATGAAACGTTTCGATTTATAATGTTAGAGAAGTAAACATTGTGCACTTATGGTGTTGTTCACTGAATCACTTTGTGTTATGTCAGGTTGTTGGAAAATCATAAATGTAAGTCAGATACAAGACCAGATGAACAGAAAGAAATAAGTTGTATGATTATTTCTAAAACTAAATTTTCTCAACCAACTTTGGGTCGACATAATTCCAGTTCGCTTAGGTTCTTGTTACATTTTGGAATCATTGTGACTTCGGCCGTTTTCCTTGGTTTCTAATTTCCACAACAACATCCTTGTGGCAATAAAGGCAACAACTAGTGGGATCTAATCAAGGTTGTCACTTGGGTGGCGATTCTGCAATTCATTAGGATGGAATTGTGGTGTTCAAGATATTCTGCAAACGTGTTTGCTTTTTCCAAACTGTTCTTAGCCCAAGTCTCTTCTTTTCCAAGTATCTGTTAAGTTTCTGTTGTTCCCATTTTTAGCTGATCTTCATCGCTCTTCGAAACTAATTCTTTATCCTCTTCTACAATTCGATTGGGAACAAGAGTTGCTTCAACTGAACCATTTAGAATTTTTACAGAAAGTCTGTCGGAAATCACCGAAATGCGTGATATCTAATTGCTCAGACTCACTATCATAATCTTCAGCAGGAGGTTTTATTTAGTACATTCAGATTATTGCCTGAACGAGTGTGTTAACTGCATTTGCGCAAAGTTTGCCTAGAAACTATACATAAAACTGTTCAAGCAATCTATATTTTAAATCTTTCAATTTTCTCATCATTTCCATTTGATGTTTTATTATTTAACAGGTGAAATCATCAACGGAAGGTGTTTTTTTCGTTCTTGTTGATGTTCTACCTATTGCACATCCATAACCTTTCTCCAACTACCCTCTGTGTCTTCTATCGTGGAATTGCTTATATTATTTTCCAATCGTGACTTGTAAAGATTCCTAATCGTCTCATTTCTTTTTATTGGTTTTTATTACCATTTTTTCCTCGTGTATTTTGAAATGTATGTATGTAGCAACCTCCTTGCCCTTGTAGGATTACAATTAATTTGCAACTGTGCTCATTTACAGATGGACAACCTGAAGAATAGTTTGAACACTGCGCCATTATTGTTGTGTAGTACTTGCAATATGAGGGCGTTCTATAAATGTTCCTGCAAAAAAAAGATGTATTGTTCATTTAATTGTGAGGTGAGTTGTAAGATATTTTATTTTTTATGCAGTAATTCAGTATTAATTAGCTTTTATATAATATTTTAAGAGTTTTATATGAGTCGTTCACTGCGCAAATCGATTAATTCCGTAAAACGAAAAGTCGGGAAACGCGATGAAATTATGTACATTGTTTTTTTTTATTGTGTCATATTTTTTAATAATAATAATAATAAATGACTTTATTCAGACAACAATACAGGATTTACAATTATAAGTACCTTGAATAGGTGAAGTTCAGTCGAAGACTGCTTTTCAACTTAACTAAAGTAGAGTAAAAAAAAAACAAAAAATGTTGAAATTAAATTGTACTGTAACACTAGAATAATTATAATTATAAAGCTGGTGCGTTGAACGGAAAAACAACAAAATTGAGAAAAAAAAAGAAAATAATAGTAAAAATAATATTAATAATAATAACTGAAATCAAAAGTTAAGTGCGAAGTGAGGTTAACAGTTCTATAGTAACATAACGATGTAATCAGGCTACAACCAATAGAGCCACAAGCAACAGACGCTCACACATGTTCGACCCGGCCACCAAGTAAGAGGTTGCGATACTGTAATTTAAAGCTGTTAACTTTTAAACATTGTTTACGTGTAATAGGAAGATTATTCCATTTTATTACTTGCAACACGGTCTCTGAGCTAATCAATCAAAGAACGAACTTGTTCTTTAGAGTTCTTCATCATTTGTATATCTGCAAAAAGCCATAAGAAGTGAACAGTGACATTCACAAACATTAGCTGCATTTTCATATGTAGCCAATGTTGACTATATCCTTTATTTTACAAACGCACTTCGTTGCACGCATTGTACTTACGAATGATGTTCTAGTAAACTCGCTCCATCACACCTGGTGTCTTGCATTGACCACAACTTGTGCCATAAACCAGACTCTTCATATGCCCCTAGAGAAAAAGTTCAATGGAGTCAAATCCGATAATCGTGGAAACCATGCGATTGAACCACCTCGGCCTATTCATCTTTGTCCGAATAGTCGGTCCAGATGTTCCCGAACATGAAGTGAAAATTGATCGAGGGGTAAAATTTTCAAAAAGTGGAGTTAATCGAGTTGTGTAATAAATGGCTCATATAAAAAAAATTAACAATAAATTAATTGATGCATTTTTTTCAGAAAAAGGATTGGATTGCCCACAGGTACGAACATATTTATCATTATCATAGAGTGTAATATTAATTTTGTCAGTTAAATAATATTGTTTTGAGAGTTCCTATTTTGTGATTTCTATTTATGTAAGTAGTTTAATGGACTATTTTTATTTTTGAAATATATGAACAGTTTTATTTGTTTTAATGAAAAAATGTTTAAGTTTAAACACTTAAATGAATCATTTAATTATTATTAAAATATCATTACCATTGTATAAGTACGTTTACCATTGTGCATAGTAAATTAATTTAAATTCTACCGCTCTATTTAACGGAGTAATATGTTATATATATATCATTAGTTTAAGATGATATAAAGAAGTATAGATTTCTTTAGTTTTTACATTGTTATAAAAAATTAAATAAAAATTTTCTACTTAATAGCATATTTTATTACCCGATGGTAATTTTTTTCAACCTCATTAAAATTCTTTTAATAATAATAATGTATTGACTAGAATTACTGCAGATTGTAAACACGTTTTACCTGTAACGGAAACGTGGTTGGGTACAAGTGTGGATTTGGATTATCTCTTGATAAACAATTATATTTTTTGTCATCAGCCTCTTGCTTCGTGCCTCCTTGGGTGGTAGAGTCTATAGATATTTATTTATAGATAATTACATCATGTTATTATGAAGAACACCAATTGGACCGCATTATACATCACTTGACTAAGCGATATTTTATCGTTATTAGGCTCGTTACTACCATCTTTTAGTTAAGCTATCTAAGGGATTGTTACCACGGTTACGGCTATTTTACGCGCTCTGATTGGCTAGTAGATGGGTTTATCTATAAGATAAATTTAACTAAAAGATGGTAGTAATGGACCTTAGAGATTTACATGCTGGCTGGTAGGTAAAGGTGTAACTTATCTTAGAAAAAATGGAGAATACCGAAAGACCTAAAATACCATTTGTTTTAAAGGATAAAGCTGAGCGACAAGCACGTCATATGATTTCAAGTCTGATTTGCATCGTAGGTCTAAGAACCGGCTTAGATACGACACTTAGATACACCAAGAAATTCTACAATAGAAAAAATAGATGATCCTACAATTTTGGATCGGTGTCGTTTTCTAGATGTTCTTCAGAGACTCTAGAAATAGATTAACATCTCTCATTCTACAAACGACAGCGGTAGGTAGCGCTAGTTACCATAAGATATCACTATGTTGCATATTTTTATTGTACTAAAACTGGAACCAACATTAGACCTAGAACTAGAAATATTCGGGTGTAGCCGTGCGTCTGAAGATTAGCGTATAGTGCAAGTTTTACACTAGCACTATCACTAGAACTAACAGCAAGACCTAGAACTAGAATTATTTAGGTTTAGCAGTCTTGAGAGACGTGGGACTAAATCCGAATGTTTCTAGTCTAGTGTTAGTTCTAGTGGCAGTGGTAACACTAGTTAGCATCAGATATTACTATGTTGTATATTCTTATTGAACTAAAATTAGAACGAGAACTAGAAGCATTCGGGTTTAGTCGTGAAAAAAACTTTCAGTAGTCAATAGCAACCTTAATTTTATTATTATATTCGTAATCTTCATAAAATAACCTTTAAAGTGAGTCCAAACTTGACTCATTTATCTCATAAAACCAAAAAGTTCGAAATTTCAACTTTTAATTTTGACATATCTGTCATCTTCATTAAAAAAACCTTTAAAGTGAGTTCAAAGAACAAAAAAGTTAGAATAAAAAACATTAAACCCAAAGTTGCTAACAATGAAGGTAGCAATTCAATTTTTAAATATTAATACCAACCTTAATTTTAGACTACTATTTTTTTTATTATATTTTTGTTTTTGTGACAAATATTAAGATATTTTATAAAAATTAAGAATATTCGGAAGTTCTTATACCTCGAGTAATATTGGAATTAAACGTATCATGTTTGGACTCGTTTTAAAGGATTTTTCACAACGATTACAAATATGGCAAAATTGAGGTTAACATTCTTAACCGGAAGTTGACCATAACTTCATTAATATTGGAGATAAATATATCGTGTTTGTACTCATTTTAAAGGACTTTTAATGAAGATTATAAATATGTCAAAATTGAGGTTGTCCTTTTAAACCTGAAGTTAGTTATCATATAATAGAATTTTTATAACTGAAGTTAATTTAGTGTTAGTCACGTTCCGCACTTTCTTTTTATTTTTAACTTGTTTTTTTAGTCATTTCACGTTGATTAAAAAAATCGTCGATTGTTAAGTAACATGATGATTCTTGAATTTTTGCCAAGTTTCTTAATATTTCTTTTGTTAAAAAAGAGCGCTCTTTAATTTTAACCTGTAAACTTGTAACACTTCGTCCTTAATTTCATTTTACAACTTTTTAAACTTTAATTTTGTAAGTAATTTAGTAACTAACAATCTGATTTCGACTTTAATATGTGATCTTTTCTAACAAAAGGAAAAATAACATTAAGAAACTTGTTTGTAAAATGGATAAGATGAGAGTTGTTAATCTATTTGTAGAGTCTATGAAGATGGACAAGGGCCGAAACTAGTTAGACTTAAATTCTATATAAAATAAAAACCAGTTTAAAAGTACAAAATCAAACTCTAGATTATTTCCTTCAAAAATTTTTACATGAAGCATCATTTTGACTCTAGTATTTGTGGTTAAATATATGCCACGACTTACAGAAACAGCCTGTATAATCGTAAAACGTACCAAGCGGCTTCTGTGCTTGTGCTAGCTGTCATCAGTGTTCTGTGATAAAAATAGACAGGTACCAAACAATTTCCAATAGTTTGAACCTGTCTATTCTGAGAAGTCTTATATTTTTAGAGAGATGACAACGAAAATCTCGTTTTTCTCAACATTATTCATTTATCGCTTAGTCAAGTGATGCATAACGCGGTCTAATATGTTATATGTTTTCACTTGATTATTTTTTATTTATAGTTTTCATAGTAACAGGAAAAATATAACATATCATCTAAAAAAACTTGATAAAATAACGCCACAAATATTCCCCTTTCCAGAAGAATCAATTTTAGCTCACCCTAACCCGTCTGCTAAATTAATTCTTACCACCAATGCTTCCAACTATGCAATTAGAGCGACGTTAGAACAAGGAATCAACAACATTTCACAATCAATTGCATTTTTCTCATAATTGCAAATAATTGCATTTTGGAACAAGGCCAAACTACAGATGAACAACTCAACCTGCTTAAAGCTCGAAATTGTAATCCTAATTCTAAATTTCGTCTAAAACTACAAACAATTTACTGATTCACACAACAATTTTCACTGATTTACATAGTATTTCCCTTCTAAGTATAAGAGCTTCTAAAAAATTAATCAGTACAAGATATTCATGGGTTCATATAAATTAAATTAAATGTTAAATTTCGAAAGTCCAAAGACATACAAAACCTTCAATTATGAAGATTGATATTCCTAAAGACCGTTTTGAACATATCCACGTTGACATTGTAGGTTACCCTCTTCTTTCTGGTGGTTGTACTTACATTATAACAGTAATTGAAAGACTTACTAGATTTACAGAAGCTGTTCCTCTTTTATCAATACCTACATCAACTATTGCTGAAACAACTGTTCTTACGTTTTGGAATTCCTCACTCAACATAATCAATTTGAATCTTAATTATTTAAAGAATTTAATAAATTTCTTGGCTCATTTGAAATCCATACTTCAACATAGCATCCTCAAAGCAATGATATTGTCGAAAGATTTCATAGAACTTTAGGAACTGCTGTAATTGCTAGGGGGAATACAACTCATTGGAAAGACGAATTAGTAAAGACCATAAAAGAAGATTTAAGTTGTCCATCGGTTGAGTTACTTTATGGTCAACTATATCATTGGTGTTGATGGCAAATTGGATTTTAATGCTAATTTGGTGCCACTTTTAGATCTTCCTATTTCTTTGATTTCGATTAGGTATACAGGTGTCCCGTATCTTCCGGATCAGAGCATTATACGGTTAAAGGATATATTATTCTAAAGCGTTCGTGGGAAATAGGTGAGTTTCGTGTCGTGTTCGTTACAAAGACACTTAATGGACTCTATAAGTTAGGTTTTTTAGTATTTTTAAGATAAGTTTTAAGGACCACATAAGTTAAGATTTTTAGTATTCTAAAAATGCGCTTTATAGCCACATTTTCTTTGTTACAGACCCGATAAGGTGGTCCCCTAATTAGGGGATGCTTTCAGAAGGGACCAATTTACGACCCATAGTTTAGGACGCATTGTGCCCCTCAGGCGCCCGTGGCGTCGTCTTCGCCCCACCAAAAGTTGCATTCAAGGGCTCCGCTGTCCTATATAACCCTCGACCGTAGCATTCTTATGATCATTCTAATTCTAATACTAAGTCTAGTTCCATAATACTATTCTATATCTCTAATTCTAAGTCCGTATTATACTATATTCACGTTCATCGAAATTGTACCAAGATTGTAAATTAAAAATTGTACTTTTGTGTACCGCCGTCATCGATGTTGTGTATCCTTACTTAAATGTTGTAACGTCGATATTTAAGAATATAGTTATTTCTTCGATGTGAAGGGCAATTTATTAAATTAAACAACTCTTCTTCTGTTCTTGATTTTAGTATAATTTTATTTAAGAGACGACGATGACGACAGGTAACAATTTGTTCTAAGACTAACTGATCGACTCGGTCTAACAGACACCACTGACTTGACTTTTCGACTGCTCTTAGTGAAGTGTACTTAACGACTGTTCTTAGTGAACTCGACTTATATAACGACTGTTCCTAGTGAACTCTGTTTTTACAACTGTGCTTCCCACGGAAAATATCATATAACTAAGTATGTTTCCATCTGTTTCTTGATATACACAGAGACCAGGAGAATTAGGGGTTGTTTCCATCTATATGTTTATTATTCACACATGTCTCTGGTGGTTGTTGGTTAACTACAGAATCATTACTTTTGATACATTATTATATTGTAAACTTATTATATTCTTATTATTATAAACATAAATACTACGTGAGCATTACTACGTAAACGGGTGGTACCACAACAGTACGACATAAAGCATTATAGCTAAGAAAACTGTTGCCTATCAATTAGTCGTCGATCGAGGTATCCAAAATTTTTTCTGAAGATAAAGTTGTAACTTCGAAACCGGTACCGATTTATATTTTTAAATAAACGCAAGTAAAAAGTTTTAAACAAAAATTTTTTCAGTTTTTGTAATGGTTATACCTCAAATTGGAGCACAGAAATATTTAAAATTAGTAAAATTCTCACAAACCCGACGATGTATACGATTAAAGACTTGAAAGGTTAGGATATATTGGGGGCATTCTATGAAGAAGAGTTATTGTTAATTAATACACGTTAATTAAGATAATACATTAAACTTAATACATTTATGTTCATCGATTAAACTATCGGCCAACTAAAAATCGACCGTGTGTGCCTACCCTCAATTTTAAAATGAATTAACTTAATTTGCATAAATAATAATAACTTAAGCTTCATTAGATTGTGTAAAGGAATCTACCTAGAATCGGTAAATTAAGACATTTTAAAACTTTGGCAATCGTCTCATAGAGGGTACTTTTTAAAATTATTTTTTTATATAAGATAAGAAAAGGTAAAGAAAAAAAACTGTTATAATGTGTATATTCTAATGTATAAAACTAAGGTATTACATAATAAATATTATTTGAAAATAAAACAAAATAACTAATACGGGGAAAGAAACCGATGTAAATCCTAAACCGTAGCTACTAGCGCTAGTGCCCTTCTCGACGCAGGTGGCACCATCTAGCGGACGACTTGAGCGTAACGCTAGAGTTTTCCAGAACTCTCCTTGTATAACTACTCACGGGAAATCCTGTACATGGTGAATATTACAGAACTTTGCATATTTTTACTACAGATGGTATCAGATCTGAAAAAATGCTTATTTTAATCAAAATTTGTCCAAACCTTCAAATTCTGAAAAAAATGGAGGTTCTAAGAAATAACATTACTAAATCGAAAAACATCACACGGCTTGATAGTAATCTCTCGGATTGTAATGAAATTAATAAATTTTTTATTGCTTCTTCTCCATACAACTTTCAGTTAGATGCTAGTGAATTATAAAATACACTTAAAAAATACTATTGAAACTACTTTTCCTTTATAATCTTATTTATGAGCCTTGTTTGATGATGAAGAATGCGGAGAGAATAACAAGGATTCAAGAATCTTGTCTCAGATTTATTTATTGTATGCGTCGTAATAAATGGGCCAATGAAAATTGCTTAAATATGGTAGAAAGTCGTAGACTTCATATTCCTTATCGAATAATTTTTATTATCACTAACTGCAGGCCATCTTACCTATATGAAATCATCAATGCGTAGAAACATTAGATTTCCATTCCAAAACATAGTATGCAAGCGTTGAAACATTGCTTTTATTATATGGTTGGTTCGATTTTTAATAACCTTTCTATTTGCTACACAGATTACAACTTACAATCATTTAAAAAGAAATATGAGAAGTGTTTTGCATCGGTTGGGAGGGGGTCCGGTGACAGCACTAGTGTAAGCGTTTAGAAAATAAATTTTTCTTATCTATAATTGTTTATCTTTTGTTATTTAATATTATTATATTATACAGATATGAAATGTTTTATTTCATACAACATTTTTGTATCATTGTGTATCATGAAGAATTATCAAATGGTCCAGAAGATATTAAAATGTAAACATTTAAACGCGCATTGACCTCCCCCTCCCTTATTATGATAAATATGAGATATGTCACGAAACAAAACTATGCGGTACTATCTAAGCTGTCAAATAATGCCAAATTTATAGCCCAACATCTACCTTTCTGAGATAGCGGAAATTTTATGTTTCTCTATGACAGTTACGCCGCTTAGCGGTCGACTTACGAACTTCAAAACAATTTTCAGCTATTTCTCTTGTCACCAATATGCACCAATATATCACAGCAAAGTATTACAGTTTAATACAAACCTATGCAAACATTATATACGTACCCAACGTAGCATTGATAAGTATTTGCCAGGAATCCTTTTGGGATCACCAAAGGTTGCTCCCCACAAGACCCTGTGTTAAAATCGGTTAAGGTTTTGCATCACCTGTACCAGACTATGTTACATGTACGTGGAGTGCAATCTTAAGGCCAAGTAGCCATTTTACGCGGCACATACAATGAAGTTAGAAGGTCAGATGTGCGCTGGATTTTGAGGTTGATAGACTAATAGACTTAACTAAATAATAATTCGACAGAAACAGTTTCCAAAATTGCTATATTGCCCCAGAAACCTTCGAAAAAAAAAATGCTCACCTTATTTCCATATTAATGGCCATAGACAACCTCCATTATATTAATCTTGCTGAGGAACTGGTTAAAAACAAGTACAACATCAATTCTGAGTGGGGAAAAGACTGGAACGCCAAAGCATCACCAAGAATAAACCAAGAGATCCTCCTCAACCAAAAATTAAAAGGATTTCGATTTTCTCAGCTTTGGAAGGACCTGAACAGAGTATGTACGGTACTTGGAATCTGTAGCGATAGCCTCAACAAATGGAGAGTGCTGCCATCGCCTCAGTGTGACTGCGAAGCTTCAAAATAATGTATTCAGCAAATTGTGGGGTGCTGCCCTATTGAATCTTATCCTAACGCTGTGGGAGCCTCTTTGATGCTAAACCTTGCAAAAACTTTTAATGGCTAGCCGAATTGGATGTAAAATTTACCAATAACAACCAAAACGTAGGTTGTACTCTTTAATGACTGTCATTCTATTCATTTTTTGTAACTTACCTACTATCGTATTGTGTGTCTTATATGCCATACGCTAAATAAATTAATCCGAAATTGTTACAAACTACAACAACTCAAGACGACATTTTCTGAAAATAAGTTGAGAATTATATTTTGGACGCCGCATATAATATAGTATATTATATACATGTATTTATGGATGTATTCCGTTTCATGCGCCCTCTATCAATTCTTCTTCCTTAGCAGTCTAAGTCTCTTTTGTCCACGCCATTTTATTGTTGAAACTCAAAAGCAAAAGACAATACTTCATATTAGAGATGTCGTTTGATTTTCGTCTCCTCAATTACTGTGTTCTTCCCCGCCGTCCATCTCCTCACGGGTTTTCCTACTCCTACCTTGAAAACGCATAAGACAAAGAGCACAGATTAATTTTTTGAAATTGATATACATTACAACGTACTTGAATGAGATGGGAATATTTACTTTGAATATATCCATCGCATAATCTTTCCTCCATTATTACTGCCGGATGTGTATGTTCGTCCCTATTATGGTACTTTCTATTTCATAATTTTTGCGATCTTAACCATTTTAGCAATTAGGAATACTTGCAGTTCACACTTTAGCACTACCAATAAAAGTCCTATTACTTTTTCCTGATTTGTTTGATACAGTATTACATTATACAGAGTGTTTCTAAATTGATGCGAAAGATTTCAAGGGATGATATTTCAGCAAAATTAAGGGGGTTTTTCATATAAGTTGTTGTTCAAAACCCCTTCCTCGCCGAGTTACAGCCCTCTAAAGTTAAGGGAAAAAAATTGTTTTTATTTAATAAATCCACTACGGAGGAATTTAGAAGAATGAAATTTGGCAGATAACTATTACTAATAAAATGATACTTTTTGACGATTTTTATAATCCTAAAATGTTATTACAAGGCGGTGAAAAATTCACTCCTACAATACATGCATCAGAACTTTTTAATGCGTCTATTTTTTTCTATATAAAAACTTGATTTAAATAGTGGAACTCAATACGCAACTTTTTTATCTCTTAAAATTTTTTCCTAAAACCGTTAGTTTGTCCATAAAAAAAATAAAATAATACTCAGACCTTTTTGACATTAATTCACAGATTGATTCTTTATTTAAAAATATCAAGTAGGCTGGTGTCATAATGACAAATATTTTCATTGTTGTGATTTTGTCCGTGTTATTTTTCTATCTAGAAGGCGATGAATCTTTCGCATCAATTTAGAAACACTCTGTATATTTCAATTCACTCGTTGATGTGTTTGCATAATATTATAATCGTACTACAATCGTTCCTTGATTAATTATTTTATTTAATGATATATTTTCTAATTTAACTGCTAAGTTATTACATAATTTCCTCATTACATGTAAATAAGATAGTGCCAACGAATTTTTGGAGAGAGAAATAATTCTTTATTAGCTACCGACCGTAATCTCACTTTGCCCTTTCCGCCTCGGCATTTCCACAGATGAGCACGGAAACGGGACGAACCCTAGGCACCGTGCCTCAAAGATAACAATACAATAAAATATATCGATCAAAACATAGGATTTACTTACATAAACTAATTATTATGGTCAGCTTTACACGCCGCAATTATCAAACGTTTAAACGCGCGTAGCGAGTCGCAAAAGATAAGAAGTTGAAGGAGGCACAGGCAGATACGTAATCAATGTAAGCGATGTTGCTTTTAGAACATAAATACTTTAGGAATTTCTTTTGAATCTTTTCAATTCTGGATATATATGTTTGATATTGCGGAATCCAAACGGAGCTGCACAAGCTTAAAACGCTATACACATACGCAAAATACAATGTTCTTATGACATAAATATTTGTAAAATTTTGCGTGACTCTCATAACGAAGTGTAGCATGCGCGAAGCCTTACCAACAGCTCCATCAACGTGGCCTTCAAACGTTAGTATGTATAACATTCGCGTACATAATACATATAAATAAAATTATAATACATAGTAATAATAGCTGTTCTATTTTGTATTGATAAATTTCTTCTTTAGTTCTTCGTGCCTTAATCGTATTGGTTTATTTATGTTACAGTATATAGGTCTTCATTACTGATATTGTACACAAGATTTTTCGGATGTCGGATTTTAGTTATTATTCTTATGCACCTCCTTCTGCTTTATCAATGAATCGTTAGTCTTTTATGTCCAATTAATTGTCAGTGAGATTTTGAGATATTGATGTGTACCACTTCGTTTTTGTAGGTGAGTGTTCGGAAGTATTTGGCTCTTCTGATTGTTTCGTCTCTTTTGGTTTTGTAATGCTTGGATAATTTTAGGCCATTATGTAAAATTATTCCCAAGTATTTAACTGATGGAGATGGTTTTATGCATAAGTTGCCAGTATTCACTGTTGGAGATTTTTTACAAATGCAGTAGTTTGGAACTATGACTTAGCATTTTCCTGGATTGGGAGTATGTCTCTATTTATGTAACCATTTTAATACTTGGTTATACAAAGTTTGTAAGTTTGAACTGGATCTTCTGCGTAGATGTCGTAACAGTAGAATGCGTAGTTGTATGAGGTGGGAGAAAGGGGGAATCTTGAGGAACGCCTATAGTCGAGCCGTCGAATTTGTGCAGTGGTAAATCACCGTGACAGGTACTTACAAAAAAAAAGGGGTAGTCGGTTCCTTCGTTATGTAACCGCCTACTCCCACCAGGGTCTATAAGGCGCAGCTACACTATACGAGAATAAACCTATCTTTACAGTCAGATAAGAAGTTATGAATACCGTTCACAGTGCGTCGGCGGCTTTTATTATTTTTTTGTCTCCAGTAACGCGCTCAGTGCGCTACCCCCAGAAGGGGTGTGGTCACTTACTTTGACGAATCCGGACAGGGCGACCGACGATGTGAGAAATTTACCTACTTGTCACGGTGATTTATCACTGCACAAATTCGACGGCTCGACTATAGTTTGGGTACCTCGAGGTTAAAAGAAACGGAATGAAAATGTGTCCTCAATCGCTACATGAAACGTTCTGTTTTTAAAAATTCGTAGTTGAAAATAATTAAGTTTCTTTTGATATCCATTATTTCTATGTTCAATAATAATCCCATATGCCAAACTGTATCGAATGCTTTGTTAATATACAGGAACAAAGCAATTGCTTTCTTAATTAATTTTTGTTACCGTTGGATGTTGTTAAGTAGCGTAATTAATGGATGTATACTGGAGTTGTTTGGTTTGAAACCAAACTGGTAAAATGAAATAGAGTTAAGGTAAATGAATAATCGTTGGTTTATTATACTTTTAAAGATTTTGCCTATGACCGGAAGAAGTATGATTGGTCTAGAATTGTTGGGTAGATGATGTTCTGAGTCGGGTTTAGGGATTGCAATTATGCTACTGGTATTCCATTTATTTGGGATTTGATCGTATTTGGGTCTCGATTTTAAACAATAATTGATAGTTAAACTAAAACTAGAACTAACACTAGCACTATTACTAGAACTAACACTAGACCTAGAACTAGAAACTTTCGGGTTAAGCCGTGCGTTTTTTAAAAAAATGTTTGAGTTCTAGTGATAGTGCTAGTGTTAGTTCTAGTTTTAGTTTAATTAACACCGGCCGTGAAAGCCTTTGTACTTATAATAATTGATAGATTTTCGTATGAATTTGTGTGTGACAGATTTTTATAGAGGTATAGCAATTTATTTAGTAAGACTTGAAAATTTAAATTAGAAAGGCAATAGACAACTCCCAATATAAACACTAAACTTAATCTTTTAAGTAACTCGCTCTAATCTAACAATTCCTTCGCGACATACACCGCCACATCTTCGCCTCTACGTTTACTGTCCTTCTTAATAAGAAAATAATTCCGTGAAGTAATCCTTCACTTAACCCCTAAACACATAATTTTATATCACGTCAGAGAAGAACACCACAGACGACAACAGTGATCGTATGTTTAAATAGTAAAAAGAAAATTTTGCTAAATTTTACCATTTAAATGAGTCTCAAAAATTTTTAAGTAAACAAATAACAAAATCCATTTACCATTTACCTTAAATCCATATTCCCAAGAATTCTATAGGTTAATCCGATTCAAAAGAATTTATGAACTTTTTTAATTCAATGATGTGCTAAAATCCAACTTTGATGGTCCATCGTCAGTATTTCATAGTAGATAAAACTCAAGTTATAATAGTTAAAACGATTAAAACCATAAAACACCCCCTTAAAACAAGAATAGATAACAAATTTCATTCTGAAATTAAAACTAACCTTAAACTTAGAATTTGAATACTTCCTTCTTGCTTCCATTTTAATTTATTTTCATTGCCATTTTGGAATGGCATTTCAAACAACATCAGCGAACTCGTAATGCTTGTTTGCATATAACAAACACGTTCTTTTCTTGGGATCACCGCAAGATCACTTCGGTCTTCTAACATCCCGGAAGTCGAGCCTTCAGCAATCAATACATGCTCGATTCGCATGCGCCACCCTAGCTACGAAATTAGAGGCTTCCGCAAATTCCAATAGTATAATTAGATTTTCCTTTTCGGAAAATATTGCTATTTGAATATTAATTTTTGTGGAAAATAAAAATTACACACTTTTTTATAAGGTGTTATTTAATTGCAATTCCGAAGATTCTATTTGGGAATGTTGGAACGAAACTAATTTTCAGAGGGTAATGCATTAAACCGCGACGACAACAACAACACTTTCTATTAACCCATTTTGATTCAGCAAGTGCAATATCGAGTCAATTTGCAGGCGATCGTATACGGTTCAATTTTCCCTTTTATGATCTCAGGCGTTCAATTTAGGTTCTATAACCACTAAAACAATGGGTAACATAAATTTCCACTTACAATTATCAACAAAACGATTTGTCTAGAAAACGATTGTTTTCAATGAAGGTTTGCTCTAAGAATGTGATTTGTTTTCAATTCAAGTTCTAATCCATTTTTATTGTCAAAGATAACAAAAGCGTTTTTAATGCTACCTTATTGTTTGTTGTGTTATCATTTAAGCTTATTAAATAAAACAAATTAATAATAAGCTCAGATACAGATATCATTTACATTCCTATGACACCTTTCATAATTATGTGGGTAATTCACACTGTGAGTAAAATAATAATGAAATGAAGCAAAATAATTTTTTTTGCCTGCTTATATAAATATACAATTTATAATAATTTGAAAGTTATTTCATAGTTTTTAGATGATAATTACATATAGGAGAGGGCTTAGAACAGAGCCGCGGCACTCCATATTTAACAAGTTTTTTGGCGCTTGCATACCCACCACACACCCTGTATTGATATCGGTCTTTGAAGTAATTCGTAAAGATAACCGGTGCCGGTCCAATCGCCTCTATGCTCTTCAAACGATTCAACAGCAGCTCATGATCAACCACATCAAATGCCTTACATAGGTCCAAAAATACAGCCAAAACTTTTCGTCCAAGATCCACATTATCATAAACAAACTGCATTCATTACTGTTCCTATTCATCTGTTACTATTCATTACTGAAGTTATTGCACTTTGTGTACTTTTTTTTAGGAAACATTGCTGACTCTCCGCTATAAGACCAATATCATTTAAAAATTGCAGTAATCTATTTTTCAGTACTAGCTCGTATATTTTGGCAAAAGCAGTTATGACTGATATGGGCCGATAATTGGTTGCTTCTACTTTCAGACCCTTCTTGAATATCGGTGTTATCTTTACAATCTTTAGTTCTTCCGGGAAATTCCCCTCCTGGTTCTATTAATAAGACTAGATAGAATCGGTGAGTGTACCTCTTTCAAACATTTAACAACTTTAGGCTTGATACCATCATGACTTGGAGCTGAATTAGTTTTAAGTGTTGTTATTATAATAATAATAATAATAATAATGCCTTTATTAATAACTCGCAAAAAAAAGGAAAGAAAATAATAATACACTCTTAGAAAATAGACTTATTTTCTGGACGAAGTTCAGTTTGGTTATTAACCAACTGCTCTTCCACTTAATTCAGAATATATAGAAAATATATATATAAAGCAAAAATGAGAATGTTGTTAACAATACTAATAAACAAATGAAAAAAAAACAAAATACGACGACATGTCAGTATAAAGCGCTACATCAGTAACTCAGAATATAATAAAAAAAAATCATGATGACTCAAGCAGGAGGGAGGATTTTAATTTACTCTTGAACGAAATACAGTTCAATCCTATAAGGTTCATAGGTAGATCATTGTACGTTTTAGCTATCTGGTAGGAAAAGGATCGGTGCGAGGCGCGGCGTGGTACCGTCAATACATCTTTCCTCCTTATATTAATGTTATGGACATCGCTTCTGAAAGATAGGCGTTGCAGCAAGTAAGGAGGCCGCTGACTTTTAATAATTTTATAATAAACGCAAGTTGCATGCAGTTTACGTCTGTTTTTCATGTTCAACCACCCAGTCTCTGCCAACTTATGACTAATATGGTCATATTTACGAATTCCGTAAATAAACCTCAGACAACCGTTCTGAAGGTTCTGGATACGACGCCCACTCGCCTCCGTTAAATTTGGACCATAAACAACGTCGCAGTGATTTAATTTGCTTAGAACCAAGCTATCACACAGCATAATTTTTAATTTTTTACTTAAGACATCCCTATGGGCATACAAGAGACGCAGGGCGCCATACCCACCCCTCAAGCACCTGGCCACATGCTCCTCAAACCTCAACTGATGATCCAATGTGACTCCTAAAATTTTTATATCATCAGAAACAGTAAGAGGTTCGCCATCCACCACCAATTGACCGGATATCAAAGGCTTAATCGCTCTCCTTGTGACACTACCGCAAAACAGAAGAACAGAAGACTTAAATGGATTTAGCACAAGTTCATGGCGTTTCGCAACATCAGAAAATAATGCTATATCTGAGTTAAATTTTATGCAGGCATCAACCCAATTATTTGGATTAAAATTCAGCAGAAGCTGTGTATCGTCTGCATACAAGTGAATCTGCGAATGCTCAAGAACCTGGTCAAAATCAGATGTATAAATAGAGAACAATAGTGGCTCCAAAATGGACCCCTGAGGGACTCCACGAGTAACAGACAGAGCGCTCGACACTTGACTATTAATCTTCACAACCTGAGACCTTTCCGACAAAAATGACTTTATCAAAATTGCAGCTTGATTTCCAAGACCAAAATAATTAAGTTTAGATGCAAGTATATTATGATTTATTGTATCAAATGATTTGGTGAAGTCCAACATAACAAAAGTGCGGCTTGCCCGGCATCTCTAGAAGCAAATACATCATCAGTAAGGTTCAATAAAGCAGTTGCGCAGCTGAAACCCGAACGAAACCCAGATTGTTGATCTGGCAGTATACTATACCTTTCGCAGTGTGCTCTAAGTTGCTTTTCCAAGACTCTCTCTAAAATTTTTGACATTACTGGTAGGATACTGATCGGTCTAAAATCCCTTAGGGCAGAAGGGGAAGATACTTTAGGTAACGCAATTACTTCAGCTATCTTCCAGGCATCCGGAAAAACTGATTGATGAATAGAGCCTTTGGATCTTTGGAGAAAGATCCAAAGGTATGCCATAGTATGCCTTCTTTTCAGCCCGCACCGTTGATGTTACCAGATTGCGATGCAACTTGTATGAAATCATCATTACTTGGTCTGACGTAGAATATTACAGATTTGTTTCGGGTCCTCCGTTTCTGAATTATCTTTATCCAAAATTTTATGGATTCGTTCTTGTTTATTATTTATCATTATTGAATCATTTATGACCTTCCATTGCTTTCGAGCGGAATCTTCAGCATTATTAAATTTGTATTCCATGAATCGTTTTTTATTCATTATGACCAACTTCTTAACATCATATCTAAGTGTTTTAAAAGCTCACCTGTGAACCACCCTCTTCAAGGTTAGTTGTTAAATTCCTATCTTTTGTTACTGTTACCTTCTTTAAACCATGCTTGTTTTTTGTTCCAAACGAGATATGTTGAAATCTCCTATACAAATAGATTTACACGTCGTAATCCCATTTCGAGCGCATCCATGAAAGGTCAGAAGGATGAGCCCGGCTTTTTGTAGACTCCGTAATGATTATATTGTGAAATGTAAGTCTAATTGATAATAAGTTGTTACGATCCGTGTTTACAGAAGAGACCAGTTCATGGGGACAGTTGCTTCTTGTCAATATTGACAAGACATTCTGTCCTCTCTACACACATGAGACCTCATATAACTTGAAAACATTAAAGTCATAGCCTCGTCATCATACAGCCAAGTTTCAACAAGAATTAGTACATTAGGTTTATGTTGCATCAAAATGACATCAACTTAATTGATATTCTGTCTTAGGCTTCTTATATTACAGTATATTACTTTTAGTTTACATTCAGAATTACAGTTCAGTTTTTTGGCTTTGGGAGATCTTCAATAGTGTTGATGATAATCAATTTAGCAGAATATCATCCTGCCTTGTGTTATACCTTGCATTACTTTCCCATTTTAATCCAAGCGTATTTGTATTGATTAGTTTTTTAAAATCTCTCGCAGCTTTAAATGTGATGTTGACAGAAATTTTCTTTTGAATGGTGTTTTCTCTGATGAAGCTACTTTCTACTTGAATGGTAAGGTTAATAGGCACAATTGTCGTTATTGGAGTGACGAAAATCCACGTTTAATAAGAGAAGATCATATTCAGAGACCGCAGAAAATTAATGCATGGGCTGGTATTATGTGAGAGAAGGTGGACCAATTCCATTTTTTATTAACGGAAATTTGGACGGAGACAGATATCTGCAACTGTTAGAAAATCAAGTGGTTCCAAGTATACGTGCCGTATGCCCTAATGGTATTGCCAATAAGATGGTGCTCCTCCACACTTTAGTCGCACAATGCGAGACAATTTAAGCCGCACGTTTCCAAACCGTTGGATTGGTAGAAGAGGAGAAATTGAGTGACCACCACGATCTCCTGATCTAACACCACTCGATTTTTCTTTTGGGGGTTTCTGGAAAGTAGAGTGTATGCAACAAAACCAGAATCAATAAATGATTTGGAAAATCGCATACTTGAAGAAACCACCAATATCACTAGGGATATGCTCCTGATGGTTCAAAATTCCATTTATGAGCATTCGAGTCATTGCGAGACCGAAGAAGGTCGGCGATTTGAACATTTGTTATAAAAATTGTAATAAACGTACAAAAAACAATAAAACATTTTATTTTCCCATTTGTCAACCCCTCATAATTCTTGAAAGAATTATATTCTTTTTTCACTACCTTTAAAATAAGGTAAAACTCGACAGGGATTGCTATTTAAAAACGTAGAGGAGGTCATCCCCTAAAAAAACTCCACATTGCATGGAAGTTCTAAACTACCTAAGAATGTAGTTTTTATGACTCTTTAGTGATCCCCAAATTTTCAAATTTTTTTCTTTACTTGTTCAAAACTTATATCTGTACTTATACTGTATATTCAAATCTTTGTGAACCCTGTCAAAAAAAGTAGCATCCCGAAAAGGGAACTTGTTGTTAAGCCAATTAAAAGCAGTAATTTTAATTCAAGATCCCATGTAGATTTAATCACATGCAACAAAATGAGCCGAAGAGGTTGATTATCATATTCTGAACGTATTTACAATTTTTGCAGTGGGTTACATTTTCCAAATCGACAATGGTTATATGCTAATCGACACAGTTATTGAAGAAATGTGTGATGAACTTAAAATCGTTCATGGAAAACCGAGATACATCCAATCAAAAGGTTCGGTTGAGAGAACCTTTCAGGACATAGAAAATATGTTGTCTGCTAGGCTTGAAACAAATGATCAGAAGGAATAAAATTTATCCAATTTATGAAACTTTCTCTTTTAAAGCATTCGAATGTGTTAATGGCAACCATTCGGAGCCTCTATTGATTCCATTGGGAGTACATCAAGACAATCATTTTGGCCCTACGTTGTTCAACATCTACATAAATGATATATTTGATGTCATTAAAAATTCGCTGTGTCTTATGTATGCGGATGATTTCGAAAACAGTATGATCTTGATAATGTTCAGCTTTATTGTCGAAGCAATACTTTAAATTGCTCTAAATGCAATGTCATCTCTTTCACGAGGAAGAGGAATACTATGTGTTACAATTATATGGTTGTTGGTGAGGTTCTTACCCGTGTATCATCCATTAAGTGTCTGTAATTATTGTTTAACATACATATCGGTATTCAAAGCTTCTTTTATAAAAGTTATTCCGATCAAAATACTGTATTGGTTTCGTTTACAGCACCAAACGTACATATCCAGGATTGAAAGAATTCAAAACAAGTTTGTTAAATACTTATGTTTTAAATGCTTAATACAATATTCTGACTATGACACTTCTTTGCAAACAGTTCAGGATTGTGTCTGTGATGATGTACTCTTCTTCTTTAAGAGTCCACATAATATATGTGATTCTCCTTTACTTTTCAGTGATATTAATCTACATGTACACGAAAAATCGTTGTTCAAAATCCTTACTCAATAGAAGATCTACATCGCATAACGTATATTCTAAGAACTACTTATGTCTTTTCTAGTCTTGATTACATAAAATCTGCTTAGATATATGGCATATGTTAATAGTATTCTTTCTTTTTGCTCCGTGGTTTGAAAACCAATGTATGACATATATATTGACCGTTTCTCTGAGATTGGCTGCAATATTCACTCGATATAAGTCGGGATTAAAAATATTTAGGTGTTGGTTTAAGTGATAAATAACAAGTCTTTCTTTGTATACATCACGATTATCAAAGTTTAAATTACTCTTAAAATAATTTTACATATAAAAACAGAAAATAAATCAATGTTAATAGAATGAATCAACCACGATTAATAAGAAAACGAGCGCATGCCCCCGTACTCCATGCGTCTCTGCGCATTAAAAATAATTTAAATATCGATGTCGGACTAACGATATTCTTTCAGTGATTGATTCGTAGCGAGTAGTCAATTTGTTACATATTTCGCATTTCTTATCTATTAAATTTTTCATCGAATTTAACGCGTATGGTAAAATAAAACAATAATCATAAGTGAACACGATAATTTCCTCATTAAGATTATTTAAGTTTTAATATTGATTATTTTAATTGAGTAGTGTTTAAAATGTTGAAAACACTCGGTTATTACCTTTTAGAAAAAAGTATGCGCAAATATATGATATGGCCCACCTCACACGGAATGAGAGGATACGGAGTAATAATTTTAATAGTTATAAATCTGGTTTGGGGTTTTTATCCCTTGATAACGGAACTTATGCGTGAGTATTAATGTTTATATCCCTTGTTTTAATGTCGTCACTTTAATCATTTCAGATTACAAGACGAATTTCGCAAAGTTACTGTTTCATTTGGAACTTACTGCGATAGGCGCTATAATTCTGTTTGGTAATATTCACTTACTACGAAATCGACGTAGTTTGCTCGAAATAATTGATTCATTAAGTGATTTTAATCATTTCGGTATCCCAGAAAGAATCAAATTTATTGAAAAAAATATAAAAATTATACTAAATATTATTCATTATGGAGGATTTTTTATAGGATATGCTATGGCATATTATGTTATGTTCGAAAATAATTGTGCCGGTATTATAAATACTAAAGATTGTTTTATTATTGAATATTTCGTTCCACATCATTTAAAACAGTACGAAATAACATTAATAATGTTATTTCAAATATATTTTTTGGGTATTTCAATGAATGTTATATTTTCTGGGTTGTTATTATATAGTTACTCGATGGAATTGTTAATCGCTCGAATAGAACACCTTAATAATGTAATCGATAATATACATTTGAACAGAAATAAGAAGAGAAATTTTAAAATTCTGCGACCGATTTTCTTATATCATCAAGATATTTTCAGGTAATTTTGCACACACTAGTTACATTGCCAATATATATGATGTGTTGCGGTTTTAGAATGTTTGACTGTGTTAAGGGATTCTTTGTCAGTTATATCGTGCCTACAAAAGTTTGCGTTATAGTTTGTTTAACTATGTGTACTACTGAATTTGTTCTGGTTTGACACTTCACATGATAATTTCAATTAATTAACCAAGTAATATTTTTAGGAAAAGAATTTAATAAGTTGCTGGATGATTATTATGTACTTCTTAACGTTATTTTTCTTCCATACTATTGGACAAAGATTTATCACAGCGGTAAGAATAAATTTTTTATATTATTAAATTATCGATTAATATACAAATGTTTGTTAAGTATGGAACCGGCTTAAGTCATATTTCCAAAAGTACTTATCGAATCAATACGAAATTTGAAATGTGAATTTGTCTAAATAAAACCTTTTGTTAAAAAAATGAGCTCCACTAGTCAAACTTTCGAATGATGTCAATTTTGACTAATGGTGCTATTTAAATAAAATCAAGTAGGCGTTGCATCTTGAAAAATTGGATTTTGTTTAGTCAAATTCACATTTCAAATTTCATGTTGATCCGACAAGTACTTTTGGAGATATTAAGCGGTTCAATGCTTAACGAACACTTTGTATAAATAATAATTATACATATACATAGGGTCTTTCAACTAAAAGATTAATTTTAAATTAAAAGAAATGTATAGTATTTGTAATACCTGCCAAATCGTTGCTGGAACGTTGGCGTAGATCTTATTTTTTAACATACTCCTAAGAAAAAAACTTCAATAATGTTAAATCACACTATCTCGTTGGCTAATTCATATCTCCATTTCGGGAAATTACACGTCCAAGAATTTTTTTCACGCAATAGAGTTATTATTATCGTTCGGGAATGCAATTCATTCTTTGTCATTTTCAAAGAAGTAAGGTCCAATCACTCCGCCAACCTAAAAACCGCTCCAAACTGTCACTCGTTGTTGATGAAGTGTTTGTTCGACCATTTCTTTTGGGTTTTCAGAACCCACAATCTGATAATTTGGCTTGTTGACATAACCAGACTAATGAAAATAATCCTCATTACTCAGAATAAATTTGTTGAAAAAATAGTGATCTTGTGCGTGCATTGTGAGCACCCAATCAGCGAATGTATGACGTTGTCCGTGATCTTATGGCTTTAATTATTGCGTCAGCTGGATTTTGTAAGCTTTTAACGCAAAATCTTTATGCGAAATACGGTGCAAGCTGGTTTTTGATAAGCCTAATTCCTGTAAACGTATATATTAGGGTGTCCCTTATATGGCAAAAAAAATTTTTTTTGAGAATTTCTAAACGCATACCCTCTACTTTTTTTATAAATGCTAAAATGTACTTAAATATGAAATTTCATATTTGTAGCATGATTGCAACCCGTGCCGACCGAGCTCTAAAGTTTAATAAAAAATGGTGTTTTGGCCTGACATTTTGGTTTGATCCAAAACTAATTAAAATGCAACAAATAAAGTAAATATGAGTAAAAATAAAATAAGATCAACATAAACTTTTATTTAAATACAATTTATAATAATAATTAATTAGGGTAACTTCTCTTTAGTGTAGCTTTTTAACAGTCTGGATACAGATTTCTATGTTCCTGAACACAACGCAACAAAAACTGTTTTTGCTCTTCTTCAGCCGTGATAAGTCCATTAAAATCTTGCATTAATTTAACAGCTCTTTCAGCAGTGTCATTTACGACCTTCAAACGACTTATTTGTCTTCTAGCTTCCAAAAAAGTAGGATTGTCACCCCAAGAAGATATATCTTCCCGAAGAAAACTGTCGTCGATGCCTTGGAACTTGTCGCGTCTACTTTTTCATATTCTTTTAGAGCTTTCAAAAAGCACAAGTCTTGGTTAGGTGTTTTAATTGCCACTGTGCATTCGAGCCAAGGTTTAGTATACAAGGTGACGATAAATAAGCAAACATCTTGTAGAGCATTTTTGTCCTTTGCAGTAATTTTAAGTTGCGATTGAAGCAAACATATTTTTATAGAATAGATCGCTCTCGCCATTCATCGCGCTTGATGCAAAGCTCCGGGGGCCTGAGTTTTAGTTTATTCTCTGTATCTCCTCCTAAGAACACAACGCATAGTTCAACCAATTCGCGGTAATCGTCTCTAATAAAAGGTTTTTCCAGGTTTTTCAGTCTTATAAAAAGTTAACAAATATGTAATGTTTGTCTCAGCAATATGTGCTTTAACGAAATTCAGAGGTGGCTCAATGTTATCGATGTTAATATTTTTCCAATTATCTCTTAACTTTTTGAAAATTGGAATATCTGGGCTACTTGTAATATGCTTTACCTTGGTTTCAAAAACAGCTTTAAGGACCAACTCATAAATATGATGACGACAAGCAAAATAGCACAAGCTCCTCTGAAATGGCCAGTATTTGAAGCTGTTGTATCGCAACACATTATCTGTACTTTATCATGGAGGTTCCAGTCAAAGAGTGCAGTTGAAATGGCTTTAGCTTGATGTTTTCCAGAAGAACTCTCTAATTTTGGTACTGCAAGAAGCTGTTCTCTATCGTCAAATGAAGCAATAATTGGCAAGCGTTCTTCTTTTGAACTTCATACATCCAATCCAGGTAATAGTTTTCCATCCCAATGGACTGTGACTACGTCAGGCAAATTATTCTGGAAGTCAGTTTTTATTGCTTCTGCCCTGGATTTTCTCGCCTGAGTACGAATTCGCTGAATCGAGGATTTGTTAATAGGGAAATCATCGCTGTTCAGACCAAGCGCTTCTACAACCGCATGGAGAGTGTAAACTGAGTCCCTTATGCTTAATTGGTATCGATCTAAAGCTGCTACCAGTTTAGGAGTTATGAAACTTTTCGTGCCTCTTTTAGAACTTTTTTTAGGGCAAGGAATCTGAGTACTAAGTTCAGAGTTCGAAATCTGTTCCTCATCCGAATTCTCATGACATTCCAAGCTATCTATCGAAGAAGTAGATGCAACAGCCAATAACTTTCTTTGTTTTACCTTTCTTTCCTCTTCTTTCAATTGTCTTTGCCTAACTCGTTCTTCTTTCTCCGCCAATTTTTTGTCAATTCCACCTAAGCATCCCGGCCGACCTGGCTCTCTCTGTTTCCTTAAAAATTCTTTGTCTTCCTCTATTTTCATTCTGTCGAAGGCATCAGCATGTGCAATATCAAATAAGTTATCAAGGTCTTTTACAAAATTATTTTCACGGTTTTTGAACGTCACCTGAGTTTTCTTACAGTTTTTTTGCAGCTCCCTCCAAACATGATATAAATGAACAAGTTTCTTCACGCAGTTAGGAAATGCCTTCGTAGGAATTCTGGCTTTTTCCCAAAATATAATGCACTCTCTTATAACAAGATTCGCACTTTCACTAACAGTCAGCTTGACTTCACGAATATTGTAAAATAAAACGGTGAGAACTTGTCGATTAGATGGTAATTTTGCACCATTTATCTGGTGGCTTGGCAGTCCGATAAGGTAAATATTTTGTTTATCACTTCGTAATTCCACAGACATCTTCACACAATAAACAACAACGCACTAATAATGTTAGAAATCACGTATGAAATGACAATTGAAACTCGCAGTAACAGGTCGCAGCGCTGCACCTACGCAACATGTATGGACAAGTTAAAAACTCAAGTCGGCACGGGTTATCGTTTATAAATCGGGCTAATATTTATTTCTAGACTATATTAGGTCAATACGAAAGTTTTTAGAAGGTATGCGTAAAAATATATTGAAATTGAAATTTAAGGGACACCCTAGTATATATATTTTCAGCAGACCTGGCCGGATGAATACGAAATGACCGAAATTTCTGGATGACAACTAGTACCTCGCACATCACGCACGTCCTCTTGCTTCTTATCCTGTCATGCAGGCTTAAGCCTATAATAGTTCTTAGTGTTCTCATCTCTGTAGCTTTGACGACTTATTTGGTTGTTACTGTTTCGGGTCTTGTTTCGGCTGCGTATGTTAGCGGTGGTCTTACACAAGTTTTATAGATTCTTACTTTGCTTTTTACAGTCATGTGTTTGTTTTGCCATATAATGTCCCGTTGGTGTGGCTACGGCTATGGTTGCTTATGATTTTACTGCGCAGTCCTCTCCAAAACCAAATACAGCTCAAAGAACTTTACGAACTGCCTCCGCGAAATTTTTACCATTTTTATAGTGAATTTTCACTCTTTAAAATTGGAAGACCTTTCATATAGGTATTTAATAATTTGTTACCAAATTTTTAATAGGTGGGTAGTGTTAACGATGCAGTTTGTAATTTAAATTGGTTCGATTCGGATGTTTCAACACGTAAAGATGTTTTATTGTTGTTGTGTATGAGCCAACATACAGTCGCCATGGAAGTCCCATTGTTCGGCAAATTATCACATACCGCAGCAGCTAAGGTAGTTATTGTATATAATTATTATATAACTGTTTTGTAATAATTGAGAGTACGAATGATATTTTTGAAGGAATACAAAATGGTTTATGGTTTCTGCAATTGGATTTTAACCGTAATGAAACAACGAATCGCTTAAAATTTATTAATCTTATAAGATCTAAAGTACATATTTATGGTACAAATGTTAATAGTGGAAAATAACAAATATGTAATAATTGAAATAGTAATTGTTATTTATTTGTTACATAGTATAACAATAAACACTATAAAGAGTTTCTAATCTATATACCATTATGTGCCTTATTTATTGGACATTATGTCTCTACCTTATCATATGCAATTTTACAGAAACCACAATTGTTTGCTGCGAACATCAACTCGTTTTACGTCGATTTATGCGGATGATGAAGAGTGTTGTAAATTTTAATGTATCTAGACAACATGCGCGGTGTGGTGAGTTTGAATGTTTTGATATATTACGTTTTTGGCACACGTTCAGGAGAAGACTTTTATATTAGCGCAATAGATACATTTTGGAGAAATTCTCTACGACGAAATCGTGTTATTTCAGTGTTATTTCTTTTAGTGGTCTACATAATCTTTCTATTACAGCATGAGAAGAATTAATACATTAATATTGCCCTATTGATTGAATGCTTATGTACACTTCTATGTTTTAAGCGAAGTAGTTTTTGGATTAGCAAAAACAGACATTTAATTCCATATTTATTTGACTTGCTTGGAACCTGTTGCCTACAGGTACATCTTTCTCGATGTCAACGACATCCTTGGAGTAAACATTCCAACGTATCCGTCTTAATTACTTGCTCCTATATTGTTTGAGATATTCTTTGGTATTTTTATGCTACATCTGGAAGGGAACATAGGCGTACGAGAATGGGGGAGAGGAAGTTATTAGGAAAAGGAAAATTTAGAGGAAAATAAATCAATGATGGAGTTATACAACGTTCAATTCCGGCGAAGAGAATTGGAGGCATTGGTGACGATCCAGCAGAAATTCATTTTACACGCCATCAGCGTGAGATGATAGAGCGAAAGTGAGAGTGAGGAAGGGTATGATAGAAAGATATCCCCGGGATTGGCCGGGATTTTTCCACAGTAGTTGCATCAGTTGTGGAAGATCTGGCCTAATTTGTTGAAGAAAAAAGCTTTCCGGTTAAGTGGAAACTGGCCGAAGTTGTCATGTTGCTGACAAGTAAGAAGAAAGATCTAGGGAGTCGAGATTCTGGGGGATAGTGCTTGACGAGCTTTTGGAGATGGATTTTGGTGTGGTTGATCTTGTTGCCTATGCTGACGATATCGTGGTGTTGGGGATAGCCGTTCGGAGGTCGATAAATTGCGATCAGCTACCTTGGAAAGTTGAGTAAATGGGTGGATTTTAACAGGCTACAAATATCGAAAACCAAGACACAAATGATGTTTATAAAAGGCTGCATGCAGAGGAAGCCAACAAAATTCTGAAGCTGGATGAGGTAAGTGTGAGGTATTGTGAGAGTGTGAATATATATATATATATATATATTTTTTCTTTATAATAATGTATTGTATGGTTGAAAATAAAGGATTTATTATTATTATTATTATTATTATTAATTACTTGGAAATTGTGATGGATGAAAAATTGTGTTTTGTAGCGCATTTGGAGTATGTTAGGGACAAAGTTGTAATTTTGGTGGAGCGAATGAGAACAGGTATGAGGAATGAATGGGGGTTCGAGTAGGACTGCAAACAACCTTAAAATATAGAATCTATTAGATTTGATGAGAATCGATATGGGATGAGGATAGGTTAGAAAAGGATAGGGGTGATGTCCATGGGACCCAGAGTAGTGCGTTTTCAAAATGACATCATGTTTTGAAATTCTCGTCTATCTGGGGGTTTACGGGGTGGGGTGTGATATAGAACCTATTAAATATGATGAGGATCTATATGGGGTGAGGATAGGTTAGAACAGGATAGGGGTGATGTCCATGGGACCCAGCGTAATGCGATTTCAAAATGACTTCATGTTTTAAAGTCCTCGTCTATCTGGGGGTTCACGGGGTGGGATGTAAGGTTGTTAAGAAACAAATATAGTGGTTTATGTGTGGTCTGAATTTGGTCATTTAAACATGTTAGATCTGGGTTCTTATATATAAACCTTCTAACTTCGTATCCTTCCAGGATTTCCATAAGGTAGCCCTTGTTAACATGATGCAATATTTTTGTGTTTTTATTTTCGTCGAATTCATGGTTAAAGGTTATATGTTTACCAAAATTAGACTTGTGCTTTATTTTATGTTCTTTAATTCGTAGTTTGAGGGCTCTGCCTGTCTCCCCAATATAAGTGGCATGCCAAGTTTACATTTCAACTTATATACCCCATTGTTATCCAATTTGTTGTTGTTGTTGTTTCATGTGAGGTTGGTTAAACCACAGGTGGTATAACCAAAGCACTTGGGCCTCAACGGTCCCTTTGTACATCCTCACGGTTTTTACTTCGGCCATGTGTAGGTCTATTTGGAGGAGTGAAAGATGTTCGAAGATGGCATCCGATCAGGCTGATACCGCTTCTCGCCTCGCCTTCAGCCGGGCTGGTACTCCAACGCCCAGCAATTTGAAGACGACCCCCAAGCCGGGCTGGTACTCCAACGCCCAGAAACTTGGGTGCATGGCTGAGTACCGCTCAAAGAGCGCAGACGCGCTTTCAACCCGTTTTTACGTTCACAACGTCCAACTACACATGTATCTGACGACAACCAGAGATGTTAGACTGGTTACCGGGACCGACGGCTTAACGTCCCCTCCGAAGGACGGGGAGGCGACTCGGCGTGTATTCACTGGGAATCGAACCCAGGACGCCGGCATGGTAGCCCGAGAGCTTACCACGAGGCCATTCGCCCCCCATCCAATTTGTTTATTCTTTCTTTGTTATTTATGAGTAGGCTGCCTATGGTCCTGTTGGGATTATCTGAAATCTGAATATCGTGCTGTTTCATAGTTTGCTTTATTTTGTTATTAATATTTCCTTGGTACCTAATGTATCTGTAGTTTTTGGTTTTCTGTGTCTGCTGAGTTTTTAGTTGGGTATTATTAAGTACCTCAAAGGTTTTGTTTATTCTGATATTTGTAGACAACTTTATCTATTATGCTTCCTGGAAAGGCGTTATTTTTAGCGATATCTTTTATTATTTCAATCTCGCTGTTAAACTTTTCTTTACTCAAATTTGTATTAACTGTGTATGCAAATGTATTAACTCATTTTGTGAGTTAAATTATGGAAGGAGTCGTATGGGATCGTAGTGTTAGTCTGAGTGGGTTTGCTATACACTTCGAATTGGATATTTTGGTTTGTTTTGTTTATTGTAAAATCAAGAAAATGTATTTTATTGTCGGCTTCAAGTTCTAGTGTGAATTGAATTTCTTTGTGTAGTGTGTTAATATACTGATGTATACCGTCAATAACTTCTTTACTGTCCTAAAATATCGTCGACGTAGCGTTGCCATATCAAAATATTATTGACAAAAGGGGTTTTTTCATTCATTATGAAGTTATTTTCCATCTCATTTAAAAAGACATCAGCTAGTAACCCGCTCAAAGGTGAGCCCATGGGGAGTCCCTCCTCATAGGTGCATGTTTCATTTCAAAAATTGCAAAAATTCTGTTGTAAGCAGATTTGGAAAAGGTTAAATATGTTTTTACTAGCGTTCTTATTTTCCATTTGTGAGTTGAGGATGTTTTCAATAATCGTTAAAGTCTGTCCAGTAGGAATGTTAGTGTGGAGGTTTACTACGTCAAAGGATAAAATGGCGTTTTTGACTGGTAGGTTGGTGTCTATTAATTTTTGAATGATTTGTTTTCTATTTTTAATTGTATATTTGGGTTCAAAGGCTATATTATTTTTAAAGAATTGTACCAGAAATTTTGAAATGTTATATGTGCTGGCGTCAGTAGATGCTATTATGGGTCTTATTGGGTGGTTTATTTTATGTAATTTAATGAGGGAGTACAACCTGGGTGTTTTTGGGTTCATTGACATTATATTCCTAGTGTTAATACATATTATATTTTTTAAGTGTCTTTAACCTCATTGACAATTTTTTTAACATTTGAGTGACAATTATTAGTGGGATTTTTCAATATTTTTTTGTAATTATTATCTTTAAGAAATTTTTCTGTTTTATTACTAAGTTTTATTTAAAATTACTAAGTCCACGTTTTTATCTGCCTTAGTGAATATTAGGTGATTTTCTTTGATTTTTTCTTTTATTTATATCTTATAACTTTTACCTCTCTTCTTCTTTTTTTCTTGACCTTCTCTTCGTTGTTCTTGTTTTTCTTATTTGTGTCTTCCCATATTAGAATTTGTTGTAGATTTTTCCTTATTTTCTCTTCTTCCTTCATTCCCCTTGTTATAGCTTTTGAATTATTTCTTTTGTTAGTTGAATTATTAACTTATTATAATTAATATTAACCTTAACTTCCAGCCCTTATAACCATTTTCAAACATTTTTACTTTACATATAAAAAATAAGGGTAGTTCGCCCATTTTCACCTTCTGGTATATGTGTGATACATCAAATGAAAGCTTATTAAAAATAAATATTAGTTTCAATTTACCAAATTTTGAGAGCACTTTTCGTTTTCGAAATATATGCAAAAATGTACTTCAACCCCTAAAACTCGGCTCAAGGGCTTTTACCGCACATATAAAAAAATATGTAAGCCTCATTTTGGTCCATTCTATCAAATTTCATCAAAATCGGCGTGCCACAGTTGTGTTACTTCCCTTGTTAGATGTATTTCAAATTGTTTATCCACTACCATTGCACAGAAAATAACATTTAAGTCTAAAAACTCTTACTCTTCTTATCATTGTACGTAATTACCACAAATTGACAGTACATTTACAATGATGTTACAAACAATAATAAAAAAATACATTAATCAATCATAGCAAATCGATATTATAGACCATTTGGGCGATTCACACAGCGGGAGCGCATGCTGGCGTACTGAATGCGCTTCTGCGCATTAGTCTTAATTTAAATATCAATGCGGGACAATAACATTATTTTTTCAGTATTTGTTTCGTGCCGACTAGTTATTTGTATGTTCATTTCACATTTGTTAGTTATTAAACTTTTCACTGAATTTAGACAAATTTTGAGCGAACAATAAAGTAAAATAGTAATCTTTCGTAATCCACGTTAATTTCTTAATTAAACGAATGGTGATTTTATTGTAGATTTAATATTAATTTTAAAGTTTTCGATCAATTTCATTCTTTTGGAACAGTAGTGTTCAAAATGGCGAAAACAAGCGGTTATTACCTTTTAGAAAAAAGTTTCAGCAAAGATTATGCATGGCCCACCTCCCACGGTTTGCGAAGATACGGAATAATAATTTTGATTGTTGTAAATGCAATTTGGATATTTTATCCCTTGATAATAGAAGTTAAAGGTGAGTATTAGATGTTATATAATATAACGTTTTGATGTTATCTTTTCAATTATTTTAGATTATAAGACGAATTTTGCAAAATTACTGTTTAAATGGGAATTTATTGTACCGGGTACAGCAATTCTATTGGATAATATTCTAATATTACGAAATCCACGCGGTTTGATCGAAATGATTGATTTATTAAGTGATTTTAATCGATTCGGCATCCCCGAAAGAATGAAATTTATTGAAGAAAATATGAAAACTATAGTAAAAACGATTCATTACATAGCATGTTTTGTGGGATATGTTATATCATATTATACTATGTTAGAAAATGATTGTACCAATGTTATGAATACCAAAATTTGTTTTATTATGGAGTATTTCATTCCATATAAGGCAAAACAGTATGAAATTACATTAATAATGTTATTTCAAATATATGGTATAGCTGTTACAGTAAATGTTATGTTTTGCTCGTTGCTCTTATATGGCCATTCATTTGAATTATTAACCGTACGAATAGAACACCTTAAAAGCATGATTGATAACATACATTTGACCAAAAATAGGAAACGTAATCTGAAGATTCTGCGGCGGATTGCCTTATATCATCAAGATATATTCAGGTAATTTAACACGATATTACTTTGTTAATATACATGATATATTGTGGTTTTAGGTTGTTTAAATACGTTAATAGTTTCTTTCTCAGATTTCTCGTGTCTACGAAAACTTGCATTTTAGTTAGTGTAACAATATCTATCACTCAAATTGTTCTGGTTAGACAATTCATATGATGATTTCAATTAATTAACTCTGTAATATTTTTAGAAAAAGAATTTAATAAGTTGTTGGATGTTTATTTCGAACTTTTTGGCGTTATTTTTCATCCATACAGTTGGTCAAAGATTTACCACAGCGGTATAAATTATATTTTTATATTAACATAGCATTTTCTTATTATTTTTAATAGGCGAGTAGTGTTGCTGATTCAGTGTACAATCTAAATTGGTTTGACTCCGATGTTTCAACACGAAAAGATTGTGTAATATTGTTATGTATGAGCCAACATCCACTTACTTCGGAACTCCCATTATTTGGTCAAATGTCACACACATCAGTAGCTAAGGTAATTGTTTACATTCACTAACGTAATGGTTTTAAAACAATAACTGAGATAATTATTGTTTTTTTAAGGAATACAAGGTGGCATATGTTTTCTATAATTGGATCGCAACTACATTAAAACAAAAAATTGTTTGAAATTTATTAACAACTATAATAGTTATTTATATTACAAGTGGGCTAGAAATATAATTACTGTACGAGTGTGAAGAATTGCACGACGAGGTCGTAGACTGAGTCGTGTAATCACATGAGTACTGTAATTATGCTCTAGCCCACGTGTGATATACAGCATTTTATCTACGACTGCTAAAAATTACTAAAAAATCAATTTCTTTAAAAAACTCTATTTGACATTTACAAAAATATTTTGAAATGATTGTTGACAATTTTGAATTGTCAGTTTCAACAACATGTTTACTCATCTGGAATAAGTGTTTCGAAATGTAAAAACATAACAATTAATGTTTATAATAAATAGTATTGTTTCTCTGTAAGTAGATAGCACTTTTTCTTTTGTATTGTTGCTCGCTTCATTAAGTCATGTCTGTTCTGATTAGGCTAAAAATGCGTGACGTAATGAAACCAGTGGGGTAATGAACTTCATTACGTAACTCAAATCACTTCAAATGAGTGCGGTAATGATGACTTATCCAAGCAGTCGTAGATAAAATATTTTTACTTGCACGTGAATATTTAACGATTTGATAGCTTATATAGTATACATATGTTAATAGAGCGCTGTAGAAAATAGCAATTAGGTATGTTTTGAAGTAATAACTGTTATATATCACTTTATGTGATTCAAAGTGTGTCAATAAATATTATAGAGTTGATTTAGTGTTGTCAAATTTTTCGATTTCTATAATTCTTTGTCCATTCTGATCACATGTTATTTAGAAATTTTTGGATTCGAGGTTCATGGTATTAATGATAAAAATAATCAACCAATATGTTACGGTTTTATTAGAGTTTTCTTTTGTTTTCTTTGTTTAGATATTTGTGGGGTTATGGTTGTTTTTTATATCAATTCATCCTTTTGTTGGTAAGAGGGCGTCGTTGCCAAAATTATTAGTAATTTTTATTCGATTTATTTATTTATTAATTTTGTTTTATTTTACTTCCGAAATTACCGGGTTGCCCCTAATTACAAATTTCAGAACATAAGTCTACTAGTACATAATATAACCAATAAAAACAAGCAAAACAACCAAGATAGGATATGTTGAACTAAAACTTAAAAAAAAAATGATCAGAATTACTTCACAAATTACAGAGTTCAATGATAAAAATCAAGTTTGCCTACCGGGTGGCTGCAGCACTTATCAAAGGTGTCACATGTTGTTTAAACGATCTAATACCAATGCCAAACATAGGTATGAAGGAAGAAGCCGACAGTGTGTTGTACAGTGAAAGGATTCTAATAAGAGGAGAATTTCGTCTCAGTTCAGTTGAAAACCGAGGAATATAGAAAAGATTCTTTAGCCTATCACAATATGCAGGCTCATAGAAATCAATATTTTCTAATATTAATGGAGCATTTATACTATTAATATCAATTACAATAATTTATATAAATCACCTAAACTTGATATTCCAATCTTCTTACCATGAACACGAGCAAAAATTCTACCATCAGAGGTCCATACAGATTTTATATCTAATTTGGTGACCGCATTTTGATATAATTTATATCGAGTCGCCGTAAGGTCTTCTGTAACTCGAATGCTGGGCCCCTTTAGCAACTTCCGCGTTTGAAGAATCAATTGTCGATCTTTATAGGAAACAAAACGCACGATTACGCTTTGTTTACCATTTACCAGCTTTTCACCATGATGACATCGATCGATATTAATAGTATCAATGGGGACTTCTAATTTTTCGTTAAAAAGACGTAGACACTAATGAGTTTCCACTTCATTAATCGGACAGTGGTCCATACCGCTAATTCTTATTGACGTACGTCGGGAGTACTGCTCCAAAGCATCGTAACGTTCGACTGTTTCTTCGTTCCGATCCTCCAGTTCAACAACCAATCGTTCCAGTCTCTTGTTATCCTCCTTTCATTCAGTTATGCACTCTTCAAGTTTGGCAATTTTTTCTTTGAAAACTCGATCCACCTCTTTTGCAATATTTGCGATTAATAAAAGCAAAAATGTTTGGTCATTTATAATTTCTAACATGCAGGATTTAATAATATCCCTCTTCTCAGAGGCGAATCGAGTTCTATCACCTACCATTTCTCCAGTTATTCACTAATCACAAAATAAACTAATACTAAATCTCGTAAACAAGTCGTCTTTAGGCGGAGCGAAATAAACGACACCTCACGCATCAGACATTTTTCTTTCTTTTATTCATCTTTTTTATTTTTCTTTAATTTGGGATGAGTTGGTATGAATAACTTGTGTCTTGGTATAAAAACGTGTTCCTTCTTCGCCTCTTCCTCTATTCTTGTGTAACCTTGGTGGTGTCAACTACGGATCGAATTTTCTTACGGATTATCGAAAAGGCGTGCTAATTTTTGGTATGTACCAATTTTGTATCGAATCTAATTCAGATTTTGTTTTGCATAATAAATCGTACTTTTGTAAGGTCTAATAAAGGAGAAGGAGCATATTTAACTTCTGTCATTTAACATTCACCATCCACTGCGAAAGGGCGTTAAAGATTGGTACCTAGCATGGTGGCGTCGCGACGAGTTCTTTTGCTAGTGTACAATTGTGGACCAAAGATCTGCTTCCCCTGAGATTTGAGCTAGTCGGATTATTGTTAATAAAAAAGGTGGTAGCAAGTGGTTTACGATGAGAATTGACACACAGATTGACACATAGAAAAAAAAGAAAGATAATACAAAAAATATCAATTGAATAAAGGAAAGAAAACAGAGTAATAGTACTAATAAATAATTAATGGAGTTAAAGAGGGCAAATCAATTAGCGAAAACGCAAACTGTTTTTCATTGGCCCTCGAAAGTCTTAAATGAAATTACATCCAAAGCCCATGCCAGCACCAACCCCAAGTGCAACGCCAATTGAAAGTTTTAAAGGTTTCATAAAATTCGTGATATGCCTAATGATTGCTCGCTTCTTCCTGCTGTCCCCGCAGTTCAATTTTTAATTTGTTACTGAAACCACGCACATTCTCCAGCTTTATAGTAAGTGGGATATTGTTATAAATGTTAGGCACACAGTAGGAAAAGGCTCGCTTAAAGAGTTCAAGCTGGTGCTTCGGTATTGTTAACGTGTAACGGTGTCTAACATTTATATTATAAATATCTGTACGATAGCAAATTTTGTTGTATAAATAAGGATTGGTTTTATAAGTAAGGATTTTGTGATACAGACAAGCGGTATATAATATTCTACGTCGCGACATATTTAGCCAACCGAGCCATCCGAGTGTATTAGAAATTCTCTCAGGTCGTCTGATACCAAAGATGAAGCGAAGACAAGAATTCTGCCCCCGCTGAATACGAGATCTATTCGCGACATCGATGCAAGAGTGGTAAAGAGCTTCCCCATAATTAAAGATGGATAACACAAGTGACTCGCATAAATAAATTCTTAATTGTTGATGCAATAAGTTTTTATTTGAATACAAAAGCTTAAGGGTAGAATAGGCTCTCTGAAGGATATTACTGACATGCCCGTTAAATCTCAAATCAGAATCCATGGCAATACCCAAATTACGGGCAACGTGTGTCAAATTTAGTTATTCATCGTTAATAAGAATGTTCAAGCCTCATCCGCGGGAGCACCGGCTCCGAAAATAATGACATACGATTTCGAACCATTAATAGATAAGCAATGCCGTTTGGCGTTGTGAACTAGTAATTTCAAGTCATAATTCATTAGAGATTGCGAATCACTGAATGTGACTTGTGTTAAATGATGGATCGTGTCAAAAGTTTTCGAAAAATCGATCAAAACTAGTGCAATGCACTCTCATCCATCCCACGCAAGACATCATCATCATATCAAGAAGAGCAGTGGTACAGCTGAAACCAGGGCGAAATCCAAACTGATTGGCTGGTAATACATTAAATTCATTAAGATGGTCCCAGATTCTCGCCGCCACAATTCTCTCTAAAACCTTCGAGGTAACATTTAAAATGCTAATAGGCTGAAAATCAACCAAAGCATTTGGATTCTTGTTTTTTGGAATTGGTCAAACCAATAGAAAGCTGCCTATTGGTCAGGATAGACCCCAAATTCCAGACAACAATTAATAATATGACACAAATATGGAATAATATCAGGGCAACACAACAACAACATTTTTACGCTAATACCATTACACCCAACTGCATTAGGTTTAATAGATTGTAACGTACGAAAGACTTCCTCTTCAGAGGCGAGCGAAAAGTACAGCCTACTAGATCTGTATCGCCTGGGCTGTTATTTTGAGATCATCGATTGCTGTACTTACTATCGTTTTGACGAAGCTTCAGAAAATTTTCAGCAAGTCACTATAAAAAATTTGAAGCATTTGTCTGCTTGTAATTGGGCATGTTTTCGTTTTTGGGTGGAGTATGGAGATGAGAGGTGAGGGTGAGGAACGTTGTGGGGTTGGGGTGTTTGAAATGTTTTAGGCTTGAAAACGAGTAGATCTCTAGGATGCGGTAGAGGTTGTTAAGTTCGTGTGTAAACTTATATTTAGTGTTTTATGTTGCTCTTTTGGTTGTTTTGGGTTAGTGGTTTGGGATTTGTTGTCGTATTTTGGTAAAATTTATTTAAGAGTGTCTGGAGCATCTGTGCTTCCTTGAATATCGCTTCCAAGTACATATTAAAAAAGAGAAGAAGATCGCACCCCTGTCTTACGCCTCTACGAACCGCTATTTCATTAGATTTTGTGATCTATCCTAAGTTTTGCATTTGCGAATTTCTACAAGCTACCCATGTGAGATGCTATCGAAAGCTTTCTGATAGTCAGTAAAGCAGGCGTACATTTCAACATTCATATTCCAGCAACTTTGTGTGAATATATTGAGGGGAAATTGAGCCTCGCGCGTACCTGTTCCGTTTCTGAAGCTGCGTGTCGCCAAACTGTCTCCAACATTTAGCATACATACGCCATATAGCCATAGTGTAAATCGTGCGCAGAAATGCCTTGAAACATGAAATATTATACTGATC